GGAACGGGAGGTTCTCTTGAAAACTCTGCTATGAAGTCCGCAAATACCTGACCCTTTATAGTGGTTCGAGGTTTGAAATGAATGTCGTGTTCCCCCAGCTCCACTGCCTACTTGGAAATCCTTCCAGAGAGGTCTGTCTTCCTCAAAATGGCCTTTAATGGCTGATCGGTAAGGACGGTAATTGGGTGCGCCTGGAAATAATGCCTTAATTTTCTTGCAGTTGTGACCAGGGATAGAGCCCGTTTCTCTAGGGGCAGGTATCTTGTCTCTGCGTCCAGGAGCGCATTGCTTATGTAATAAATCAATTTCTGGTGGTGTTCATGCTCACAAATAAGTACCCCGCTGACGGCAAATTCTGATACAGATAAGTACAAGAATAACATTCCCCTTGGATAGGGACGAATAAGGTCGGGAGAGTCCTGAGGTATTCCTTGATTTCTGCCAGGGCGTCTTCGCACCCTTGGCTCCACATATCCTTCCTATCCCCCTTGATGGCTCCAAAAAAGGGTTTGCATTTGTCTGAGGAGCGCGAGATGAAATGGTTAAGTACTGCCAGCATCCCCGTGAGCTTTTGGACTTCTCGGACAGTTCGGGGGCTTCGGATGTCTAGGATCGCTTGAATCTTATCCGGGTTAACTTCGACTCCTCGCTGACTTACCAGATATTCGAGAAATTTATCCGACTCTACTCCGAAAATGCACTTTGCTGCGTTCAGCTTCAGCCCATACTCCCTGAAGATAGAGAAGGTATCCGCCAAATCTACCAGGTGGTCACAGCTTTGTTTGCTCTTCACCAACATATCATTAATGTAGACCTCCATGGTGTTGTCGATATGTTTTTTGAACATCGGATTCATCAGTCTTTGGTATGTTGTCCCAGCGTTCTTCAGCCCAAACGACATCACTTTGTAACAGTAAACTCCCTTTGGAGTGATAAACACCGTTTTTTCTTGATCCGGGGGGTGGAGAGGGATCTGGTGATATCCTGCTCGGGCATCCAAGAAGTTCATGCGTTGATATCCGGCAGTGGCATCTACTAATTGGTCCACCTTTGGCAGGGGGTAGTCGTCCTTGGGACATGCCTTGTTTAGATCAGTGAAGTCTACGTAGACGCGCCATTTCTCCCCCTTTTTCTTCGCACAGACCGTGTTAGACAGCCATTCCGGGAACTGTACCTCCCGGATGGTATTGGCCTCTAGGAGTTTATCGATCTCTTCGTTGACCGCTCGGGCGTGGTGCGACACCATGCGTCGTGGCTTCTGCTTTACTGGCTTGTGCGCCGAGTCAACATGCAACTTGTGGGTGATTATTTCGGGATCCACTCCCTTCATCTCCATTGCGTTCCAAACGAACACATCTGCATTTTCCCTCAAGTAGTCAATCATCTCCTCTTATTCGGCTGTGGGCATCGCGGTTCCAACCAAGAAGTACATTTCCTCTTTTCCCTCTACCAAGGGCACCTTTCGGAGGTCCTCCACCAACCGTTCCGTCGGGTCAATCCGAGGGTCATCCATTCCTGGACGCCCGGACTGTGATTGCTATTTTTGCAGGATCTCTTCTGGAGGGCGCTCCTTCTCTTGGGTGAAAACCCCCGCTCTTACAGCTGAGTAAAAATAGTTCTTCGCGGACGCTTGATCCCCTTGGATCTCCATGATCCCTTCTGGCGTAGCAAATTTTAATTTTTGGTGATAAGTGGAGTGTACCGCTCCCAGGGCATACAACCATGCTCGTCCCATGATCACATTATAGGGAGAGTCCGTATCGATCACCACAAACTCCGTATTGATGGTGAAGGGACCCGTGACAACTGGCAATGTGATTTTGCCTATGGGCAAGGCGAATGAGCCGTTAAATCCGATGAGAGGTGTCCTGACCTTGGTAAGGTACTTGAGGCCGAAACTCATCCGCTTTAAAGTATCTAAGTACATCACTTTAGAGGAACTCCCGGAGTCCACCAACACCCTCTTGACATCGAACTTGCCTATCTTTAGGGTTATGATCAGGGCGTCGTTATGGGGAGTCACCCCGCCCGCAAGTCTGAGTCGGAGAACGTGATGCCCGACTCGACTATCCTGGTCCTTTTGTTGGGCGGTCCCCCATCACTCTCGGCAATTTTCTCGTAAATGCTACTCTCTTGAGATCGGACTCGAGTTCCTTGGACGTTGGGCGATCCAGTGGACATACATGGATCACGTTTATGACATTGTCTAGCTCCCCAGCTGGGGCGGGGGCATGTCTCTCTTCCGACTTAGGTTCTATGTATTCTTTTAAGTAACTTTTTGATCACGGGTGGAGGGATCGCTCTGTATTATGGGCAGCCACTTGAAGAATGGCTCATACTTGATCTTGTGGAGCAACTTGTAGATGGGTTCTTTAAACATAGTCTGAACACCTTTGAATGACCCCCCGGTGGGGGTAGTAGCCCCTTTCGAGAAGTATCTTCCCGTCCCCTCTCTTTTCTCTTAGGTTGGAGAGTTCTGCCTTTGCTACTTCCCATTTCATCCTCGATCCTAGAGTATTTGTTTATCCGGGCCATCAGCTCGCCCATGTTCGAGGGAGTTTTTTTGGTCAGTGATCGGTACAGGTTCGTGTCCCTTGCCAAGCTAAGCCTGAAAGACGCCGCTGCCATGACTTCCGAGTAGCCCTCTACCTCATTAACCTTTTTTCAGTACCGGATGGCGTACTGGCGAAAGGTCTCGGATTCCCTTCATCTGAGCATTAGTAATGATTTAACGTTTTTAGGCCGCTTACTCCCCCGTAATGAATCGGGCTAGGAACTACCTCGTCAACTCTTTCCATGACCCAATGCTGTTGGGGGAAAGAGCCTCGAACCACTTCATCGCGGAGTCCCCCAAGCTCATGAAAAATACTCAGCAGAGGAACCATTGGTCTGAATGATATAGGGACATCATTTACTTGTATTGCCTGAGGTGGGCTTCGGGATCGGACCGCCCATCGTAAGTTTTGAACCTCGACACGACGAACTTTTTTGGAACCTCCATCTCTCCGATATCCCTGGTAAAGGGTGATTGTATGACCTCGTCTTTGACATTATCCTTGACAACCTTACCCTTTCTCCTGGATTCCAACCGAGCTCTGAGATCAATTTCCTCCCCAACGAGATGTCTTCTGAGGTCTCTGGGTTCATTGATGGGGTTCCCCTTTTTCGAGCGTCGCATGGAAAGGGTTGAATCCTCCTTGGACTCGTCTCCCTTCCTCCGCCTTGACAGCCCTCGCTGGAGGTCGTTCAGGGCTAAAGGCCTTGCCTTCCTGGAATAGTCGTCGAGGGGGTGCTCGTTGGCTCTTGGGCGTTTTGGGGCCCTGGAGCCTTCAGCCTTGTTATTTAAATGATTCCTCAGGTCCTTAATTTGTGCTTCTCGGGCGGGGAGTCCACGAAAAGGGAACGAGTCCCTCGACCCTTCGCCGGAGGCGACGAATTCGTTGAGCCAGCTTAGGACGTTCACATTGTCTTTTTTCAACTGTCGTAATCGATCCCCAAACTTTTCTTTGATCACCTCCGCCAGTTGACGAGCCAAGGGAGTGAATTCTCCTGACATGATGCCCATACTGGTTTGAGGAGTAAGCTCCCTTAACTGAATAGAGACATTTCTGTTGTCATCAGCGTGACCCTTCCCTCCATCACAACGAGGAGCTTGCAAATCGAGACTTTTTTGCTGGGGACCTTTCCCCTTGTGTCGAGTATTCACCATGGTCATTGTCCTTTTTAGAGAAGAAACTAGTAAAACTAGTCGTTTCCCACTGACGGCGCCAGATTGTGTGTGCAGGATCTTGCACAATATAAACACGAGAACATATCTCTCCCATGGTGAACTCGAGTCAATCAATCGAATGGTCAACCTTGCTGCTTGGAACAGAATGTGAGGTTCGGTGATGGCCTAGAATGGTAATGGGTGACTTTCGTGGATCAGCGGAGAGGTCCAGTAAGGCTGAGGGAGGTTCCTGGAATAGAAAAAAATGAGTTAGGAGGGCGCCGGAGTGTTTTTCGGCGTATCCCTTCCGACGATCAAGTCAGTTCTTTGAGAGAGGGGAAGGAGAAAACACTGTGTATTTCTTTGAGAAAAGGTTTCTTGTTGCATACCGTCTTGCCTTTTATGAGGAGTATTTATACCACAAAAACTCTTGATTGCTGTCAGTGTGGTCAGTAGATGATCATTAGATACGGGCAACGTGCGCACTGATTCCTATGAGGAATGTCTTCTCTCTTAACTGCTCGGGACCGAGCAACCAATGCTTTATCATCGACCTGTCGAATGTTTAATGAGCTTCTCTTGGCAAGGATTTAATAAATGCCCAGTCACAGGGACATTTACAACCTTTCACTTCCGAGCCTTCCTGCATTAAATGATGTCTCATCAAGGGAATAGGGCACTAAATGCTTACTTTCCCAAGTCGTGTGTCAACAAAGGCATCTCGGTCTTTTTGTCTCTGATCTGACACAATATGCCACGCGCCCATTCCCCATTGGTTGTGTTTTCTGTCTTCTTGTGCCTTCTGACACCAATTGTGTAAGATGAGGTCATGATGACTAATCTAGCCTAGCCTAGACTAGTGACCCGTACATCAATAGCCTCTGTACGAGCAGAAAACGCCAACCTGGACGGGTACATCTCGGTACTGAGGGAGTGGTACATGTAGGGACCAATGTACCATATATCCGACCGAGGGATACGTGTCGGTACGTAACGTACTGGGTGTCATTGATCCCTATGAACAGTACCTCAGGGGAAGAGGGACTTGTGAACCGACGAGTACGTGTCGTGATCACAGTAACAAGAATATAATGATACCGAAGACACATGTTTTCATCTTAGAGTATTTGGAAATATCCCATCACATATGTTGATTAAACCTGACACAATTGTGTGGAGGACGCTGTTGGGCGCATGCAACATTCATGATCTCGATGACTAAAACGGGCTGGGTGAGAAGGTAAGAGAGAAGTTACTTGAATTGGAGCCAAGGAGGAGTGGAAACTTCATAATGGTCGCAAACAAGTATGCTGAAGCTGGGAAGTGGGACAAAGCAGCACATGTGAGAATTAGTATAAACAACAGAGGCTTGAAGAAGATGGCTGGGGAGAGCCTTATTGAGGAAAGGGGATCCATCCATAGGTTCTTTTCTGGAGAAGATGATCAAGTTGATTGTGAGGGTATCTTCTTGTTACTAGATATATTGAATTTGCGTATGAAAATGGTTAACTATGAGTAATCACCTTGTTTACTATGTTGCCTCTTTTTCCCTTCAAATGCTGTCATGAAAGCACTAATTCTCGCTACTTTTAAAGATTTGGTTTTCTCATGTGACTCTTGGCTTGTGCATCGTAGGCATCTTGCAAAATAGAATTTATACCCTTTCGCATGTAGTATGCATTTAAATAGTTTTGTCTATTTTTCTTTGATTATTCAGATGGTTATGTTATTCTAGTTTTTTTAATAACATAGCAAGTGTATCTGTGTTTCCCCCCCCCCCAAAAAAAAGGTCTGCAAATATCCCTTTGGATACCAGGCAACTTCAAAATTAGCTGATAATAACTGCACCTTTTGTTGTGACACCTTATTCCTTTCCGCTTGAAATCTGAGCATTGGAAACATATTTTCCAAGATATTGGCATTAAAAAATAAAAAATTCTGCGACTTCAACATTGAAAATTGAGAAAGGAGAACCTACAAAAACTGGAAAGAGTCAGGCCATTTATATAAACATAGTGCTCCATAATATTTTCATTTGCCTACAAAAACTGAAGTATTATTGAGAGGCAAACTGAGAAATACCAGATATTACTAAAGATGAATAAAGCCTAAAAAGGATAGGGGTTCCTAGAAGCTAAAGCTCAAATTAAGAACAAAAGAAATCATAATAAAACTTAGACACTGATTACACTTGCATGATAGATCTCTTATCAAAATTTGACACCAAATTTGTTGTATCCAATGCTTTTAGCAAGGTGAAATAACAAATTAAGATTGCTGTAAAATGAACAATTAGATCTTTGCTAAACGGTCGATTCCATTTCCAACAGTTCCAGACAATAATCCATTGATTTCCAATATTGCATTTTCAACTTAAGTAGATTAGAACAATAATAAAAATAAAAAACAACATACTGGATTACAGTAGACATCCCCAACTTAGTAACATTCCTATATACTGATATTCCCTGATAAACAAAGATAAATTTACTACTTACAAATGCTTTATTATTTGTATTAAAGATGTGCAAGTACCAATGATTCCAATCAAAAGATCCATCACCATAATTCCCCCTATAATCACTAGTTCAAATCTAAGTTTCTGTTAAGTTTCAGAAATCTTCAGATAGCACAAGCATGGAAGTAAAGTTGAAACAGTGACACTTAGAAGTGCTCCAACAAGTGATGCGAGATTGACCACATCTTAAACTATTCCTAATTGAATGACATTGACCACATTCAAATAAAATATCAAAATTCTTACCATTTATTCTGCATCAGTTTACACTTAGATAATTCAACCATGGTCTCATGTTCCCAACTATACAAATTACTTCTGGGCAAAACCAAAAGATCCCCGCTATAAATAGAGCTACCAGGCTAGCATAAAGGCATAGTTTATCCTAACACCTTCCAACCCTTAGTCCACTAGTTTTTGCACCTCTCCTCTTTCTCTACAATGATACCCCTCCCACTTGGCAATAGCAACAATGAACAACAGACCATACTTGGGGTGGAGGAAGTTGAGGGAGTGACCAACTTCGTTACAGGCACTACCTCCTTCTTCCAGACATGTTTTATCAGGTTCTTTTTCATCTTTCACTATTATTTTGTTCTTTCTCCAATAATTTCAAGTGTCTATGTTTGTTATTTTGTTCTATTAAGTAGGATTAAAACAGGCTGTGTGGATTACTTTGATGTTTTATCTTACAGACGCTGCCTTTGAATGGTTTCCTAGGATTCAGAATATTGTCAATACCATATGCATTATCATCAGGAGGGTGCTTGAGCTTGATACTTCTTCTTATTATTGCAATCTCAGCCTTCTACACACATTGTTAATGCAAAGATGTATGGATGCAAATCAAAGTATAAGAAGCTATACTGATATTGTCGAGTGTGCATTCAGTACAAAAAGGAAGAACGTTTGCATCCGTTGCCATGAATGTTGAACTCTACTTGATTGTTACGAGTTTCCTAATTGTAGAAGGGGATAATTTGGTCAAAATATTTCCAGACATGGGAATCGAAATTGGTGGGCTTAGAATTGGTGGAAGAGTTTGTTTTGTGATAATTGTTGGCCTCATCATACTTCCTACTGTTTGGTTAAGAAACATGAGCATTCTCTCATATATCTCTGCTACTGGAGTTTTAGCTTCTGTCATACTCCTTGGCTCAATTTTGTGGGCTGGCAAGTTTGATGGCATTGGATTTCAAGAAAGGGGAACTCTGCTTAATTGGAAGGGATTACCTACTGCTGTTAGCTTATATAGGTTCTGTTATGGTGCCCATGCAGTTTTTCCCACCCTCTACACTTCTATGAAGAACCAAAGACTCTCTTCTAAGGTGAAGGAAGGTCTTTGAATCACCGAAATTTCTTTGGTCGTTTACATTACTAATTGTCACTTGACGTTCTTCATTGCAGTCTTTCTCCTATGCTTTCTTTTCTGCACCGTTATCAATGCATCAATGGCAATTTTTGGGTGCCTCATGTTTGGTCAAAAAGTACAGTCACAAATTACATTGAACCTTCCAATCCATAAAATTAGCTCTAAAGTAGCAATTTATACCACCCTGATCACTCCCATAGCAAAATATTCACTGATGGTGACGTCAATTCTCAATGCTGCTGAAAATTTGTTGAAGTCTAATTGCAACGAAAGGCCCCTGAGATTTATGGTCAAGTAATAGTTAATGAGTAAAGTTATACTTTTCAAAATTTTTATCAAGTTTTTTTATTTGAAGTGATATGACATAATTTTTATTATTAAATATTAATATAACTCACTTATTAAATAATAAAAATTATATCACATCATTTTAACATAAAAAAGCTTCATAAAAAATATTGTCAGTATACCAGTGTTTGATGTTTAACTTATCAAAATGCTATGGTTATCAAACTTACACCAAATGATGTGGAAAGCACATGGGGCCCACAACTTTATCAAAATCAGAACCAAGCCACTTCACACCATCAAAAAACTTTCGTCAAAATATTTCACATCGTCAAAAGACTTTTAACGCAATTACTCTTTCCAAAAGGCCAAATTCTCACCGTTTTTTCTCGGAATCTTATTCAACCAGAGTCTTGGTCTCACAAAATATTGTTGATGATCTTTGTTGCCATTCATCAACCAGAATATTGGTGTAACAAAAAACTACAAATTTTTTTTGATCTATGTCAGGTATGTGCATACAGTTTAATTGGATTCCATAGGGTTTGGTTGTTGATATTTTTTTTCTATATTTTTGAAATTGACATATTATAAATTGTTAGAATACCTAAATACAATACAAGAGCACCACATATACAAGCAAATTAGTTTTAATTCATAATGATCGTTGGACATGGTTCATTTCGGTCTGAAGCTTCTTCAACCCACTAATTTCGACATCATGATTTGTCAAAGATGCGATTGGTTGCATATGAAGATGCACATCTTAATTATTCAATGCTCGTGCATACTCGTCACATCAGGCAATGAAATAGTTACAAGTCTACATTTTATCGAATGAGCATATGAAATTTTTCAATATAAAATTTGTGAATGACCAAATAAAAAACAAACCAAACAATAAATAGAAATGGCATATGTAAAATTTTTGTAAATCCAATAATTTTTCTTAATATAAATTGAAGAAAATCAATTTTCATTTTTCTTGGCATAAATCTAAGAATATCAATTTATCATCCAACTAAAATATACATTCAAATTTGTGTGTTAAAAATCCAAGAAAAATAGTCGAAATCCACACCCTATAAACCCAATCAAAAGTTAGTGTTTTTGGACTAAGTCATGCACATATAACAAACAGAAAATTCACACATCAAAACAACTCAAGCACACTGATCAGGAGAGGAACCCACTAACCAATTCCTCTTAAAACAGAAATTGGGAGCAGGCCACTTGTACTCCAGTATTTGGTGCTGAGCAAACAACATGGGACACACTCAGTTGTTATTTAAAAAATCCAAAATGTCATAACAAATAGAAAACAAAAGTTTAGAAGTATGTCGAAAATGGAGGACCACAACATTAAAATGGAGACAAACACCGCTTCGTATTCAACAATCAAACCAACTCGTCATAGTATAGTATAGTGAAGGAAGATTACATTTTGTTTCCTCTTGCATAGATATCGAGATATGGGTTGTAAAGCATTTAGACGGAAGTTTTTGACGGCATTATTTTGTTTGGAATGAATTGGTTTTGATAAAGATGTAGGTCATTTACTTTTCACGTTAAATTTTGGTAACCATAATATTATTGTTACCTTATATATCTTATTGCACCATATCATTTGCTACACCAACTCTTGTCCACTCATAAAAAATGCTAAAATTTTACTCTGTTCACGTGCATGTTATTCTTCGTCTTCTCCAACAAACCCACCTCTATGAGAGATCCGTAAAAATTACACCACGTCACTTTAAATTGTGTAACAGCTGTTACAATATAAAAAGATCCCATAACCGCCGTTACACATTGTTATTGTGTCCTAATGAGAGTTACGAGTATTTAAAACATTCCGACCAATATAACGTAATGGTCGTAATGGGCGTTAGCTTTACTTAACATCCGTTATGTGCCATAACCTCCAATTTTCAAAAACCTCGCTCCACACCGTTATACCTTAAGATCATGTGAACGTGGCATCTTAGTTATTTGCAATCCAGGGCACAGGTCTTGATTAACCATCAAAATTATTATTTTATTATATTTAATAATTGGTTAATTACATATTATTTGTGATTAAATGTGTTAAATTCTTTAATTTCTAATTAGATACTTTTTCTAGTTGTTTGGTTTATTTTGCAGGTAAAATGGTTGATTTAAAGTAATAATGAATAATGTAAGTGAAGCAATCACTAGAGGAATAATCACAATTGATAAGGATTGAGGAGTCAAGATTGAAATAGGAAGACTTAATGATATGAGAGCAATTTAATCCTTATAAGAGTCTAAATTGGAAGAAAATTCATTTAGATTTGAATTAGAAAAATATCCTAAAAGATAAAGATTTGACACGTATTCAGTATTTTGTTCATAACTTTTGACTTTGATATTAGATTTACTTGAGTTTTGGAGGTTGGAAATAAGACTTCAAGGGCATAAATCTAAGAATATCAATTTACTATCCAGCTAAAATATGCATTCAAATTTGTGTGTTAAAAATCCAAGAAAAATAGTCGAAATCCACACCCTAAAAACCCAATCAAATGTTTGTGTTTTTGGACTAAGTCATGCACATATAACACACAGAAAATCCACACATTAAAGCAACTCAAGCACACTGATCAGGAGAGGAACCCACTAACCAATTCCTCTTAAAACAGAAACTGGTAGTAGGCACTTATACTCCAGTCTTTGGTGCTGAGCAAGCAACGTGGGACACACTCAGTTGTTATTTAACATACCCAAAATATCACAACAAATAGAAAACAAAAGTTTAGAATGATGTCGAAAGTGGAGGACCACAACATTAAAATGGAGACAAACACCGCTTCGTATTCGACACTCAAACCAACTCGTCAAAGTATAGTATAGTGAAGGAAGACCACATTTTGTTTCCTCTTGCACAAATATCAAGATATAGGTTGTAAAGCAGTTTGACGGAAGTTTTTGACAGCGTTTTTTTGTTTGGAATGAATTGGTTTTGATAAAGATGTGGGTCATTTACTTTCCACGTTAAATTTGGGAAACCATAATATTATTGTTACCTTATATCTTATTGCACCATATCATTTGCTACACCAACTCTTGTCCACTCATCAAAAATGCTAAAATTTTACTCTGTTCACATGCATGTTATTCTTCGTCTTCTCCAACAAATCCACCTCTATGAGAGATCCGTAAAAATTACACCACGTCACTTTGAATTGTGTAACGGCTGTTATAATATTAAAAGATCCCATAATCGCCGTTACACACTGTTATTGTGTTCTAATGAGAGTTACGAGTATTTTAAACATTCTGACCAATATAACGCGATGATTGTAATGGGCGTTAGCTTTACATAACATCCGTTATGCGCCAGAACCTCCAATTTTCAAAAATCTCGCTTCACACCGTTATACCTTAAGATCATGTGAACGTGGCATCTTAGTTATTTGCAATCCAGGGTATAGGTCTTGATTAACTATCAAAATTATTATTTTATTATATTTAATGATTGGTTATTTATATGTTATTTGTGATTAAATGTGTTAAATTCTTTAATTTGTAATTAGATACTTTTTCTAGTTGTTTGGTTTATTTTGCAGGTAAAGTAGTTGATTTAAAGTAATAATGAATAATGCAAGTGAAACAATTACTAGAAGAAGAATCACAATTGATAAGTATTAAGGAGTCAAGATTAAAATAGAAAGACTTGAAGATATGACAGCAATTGAATCATTATAAGAGTCCAAGTTGGAAAAAAACTCATTTAGAGTTGGATTAAGAATGTATCCTAAAAGATAAAGATTTGACACGTCTTCAGTATTTTGGTCATAACTTTTGACTTTGATTTTAGATTTGCGTGAGTTTTGGGGGTTGGAAAGAAGACTTCAAGGGCATAAATATAAGAATATCAATTTACTATCCAACTAAAATATACATTCAAATTTGTGTGTTAAAAATCCAAGAAAAATAGTCGAAATCCACACCCTAAAAACCCAATCAAATGTTTGTGTTTTTGGACTAAGTCATGCACATATAACACACAAAAAATCCACACATCAAAGCAACTCAAGCACACTGATCAGGAGAGGAACCCATTAACCAATTCCTCTTAAAACAGAAACTAGGAGTGGGCCACTTATACTCCAGTCTTTGGTGCTGAGCAAGCACCATGGAACACAATTAGTTGTTATTTAACATACCCAAAATATCACAACAAATAGAAAACAAAAGTTTAGAAAGTATGTCGAAAGTGGAGGTGCACAACATTAAAATGGAGACAAACACCACTTCGTATTCAACATTCAAACCAACTCATCATAGTATAGTACAGTGAAGGAAGACCACATTTTGTTTATTCTTGCACAGATATCAAGATATGAGTTGTAAAACATTTTGACGAAAGTTTTTGACCGCATTTTTTTGTTTGGAATGAATTGGTTTTGATAAAGATGTGGGCCATTTACTTTCCATGTTAAATTTGGGTAACCATGATATTATTGTTACCTTATATCTTATTGCACCATATCATTTGGTACACCAACTCTTGTCCACTCATAAAAAATGCTAAAATTTTACTCTCCTCACATGCATGTTATTCTTCGTCTTCTCCAACAAGCCCACCTCTATGAGAGGTCCGTAAAAATTACACCACGTCATTTTGAATTGTGTAACGGCTGTTACAATCTAAAAAGATCCTATAACCACTGTTACACATTGTTATTGTGTCGTAATGAGAGTTACGAGCATTTAAAACATTCCGACCAATATAACGCAATGGTCATAATGGGCGTTAGCTTTACATAACATCCGTTATGGGTCATAACCTCCAATTTTCAAAAATCTCGCTTCACACCGTTATACCTTAAAATCATGTGAACGTGGCACCTTAGTTATTTGCAATCCAGGACACGGGTCTTGATTAACCATCAAAATTGTTATTTTATTATATTTAATGTTTGGTTCATTACATATTATTTGTGATTAAATGTGTTAAATTCTTTAATTTTCTAATTTAATACTTTTTCTAGTTGTTTGGTTTATTTTGCAGATAAATTGGTTGATTTAAAGTAATAATGAATAATGCAAGTGAAACAATCACTAGAGGAAAAATTACAATTAATAAGGATTGAGGAGTCAAGATTGAAATAGAAAGAGTTGAAGATATGACAGCAATTTAATCCTTATAAGAGTTCAAGTTGGAAGAAAACTCATTTAAGGTTGGATTAGAAAAGTATCTTAAAAGATAAAGATTTGACACATCTTCAGTATTTTATTCATAACTTTTGACTTTGATATTAGATTTACCTGAGTTTTGGGGGTAAGAATGAAGACTTCAAGGGCTACAAAAGTGTATTTCACGAAATTTTTGTGATTTAACCTCTAAATATGCGAAATTCAAGCTCAAAGTCTGAACAAATTTTGTATCTACAGCCCAAAGATTTTTTTCACGAAATTTAACTTTACAAGACTTCTTGTTGGGAATGGAATTCCTTCCAAGCCAACCATAGATCTCCTACCCTATTACTAGGATTTATTTTACTATAAATTAGGATTAGAATTATTATTCTTTTTCCCATCTTTTCTTTTTTAGCTTTTGTTCTGAGTTTTATGGCTTGCTAAAAACTACTAAAGCTAGGGGAGATACTTTCAATGAAGCACATTATTTATTATTGATTCAATGTTCTTTTTAATGCATGATTTATTATTTTAATTTAATTCTTTTTTTTAGTAAATTTTTTGCTCTGTAAAAATCTTTGAATTATTGTGTCATGTACATTGATTACTTGAATTTCCCTGCGAATCAAATAACTGGTTATTTCACACTTAAATTAATTAATTAGAATTTTTTATAAGATAGTAAATTTATTATTTACAATAAAATAAGATTTATCTGTTAGAAAGCTTTATTTATCATAGACTCTGGGCTATGAAGCACGGATACTTCAAAAGGGTCAAAGTATCCGTATCGGATACTTTTGGATACGGATACGCGTCAGATACGTCTAAGAAGTATCATAAAATTTAAAAAAAAATTAATTTTCGGATACGGTCGGATACGTTTTGGATACGCGTGGGATACACCTAAGATACGCATAAGGATACGGCGGGGTATTACTTGAATTTTAAAAAAGTATACGGACACAAGAGCAATATATTTAGGCCCTTATTTGCAAAAAAAAAATATATTATTAAACTAAAAGTTAAAAAGACTAAAACCTGTACACTTTTCTTCCACAGCCCGTCAAGCCCCCCACTCCCTTCAGTCGATACTCGACGACGATCGTCTCTTTCTCTCTCCCTCACTCACACTGACGATTGACTGATTCTAATGGTTAGTTATTATTATATATCTTTGATAGAAGTGTGATTTACTTTATAAATCATAATTATTACATTAAATATAATAATAAAATTTTAAAAAATATATATTTTATGGACGTATCCTAACCGTACCCGTATCCTATTTTTTTTTTTTTTTGTCGTATTCCCGTACCCATATTGTATCGTATCCGTATCCCATATCTGTATCCGTGCTTCATAGACTCCGGGCATGGTGAATGTTTGTCATCTACAAGTAAATTCTTATATTTATTCAGATAATTCATTAATTATAATTTTTGATGTTTTCATATTATCATTACTAAATGTTTCGATTGAGATCACTCCTCAGTTGATTCTCAATTAAATTCAAAAACTGGATCATTAATAATTATAATATAGATTTGAAAGAATATTTTTGATATTTTAGTATTTTCAATCATTATTTTAAAAACTAAATTTATTGTTTTCTAAATTTCAAAATATCTACAACAATATTTTTTAAAATAATTTTCTTTTAATTTTCTTTGTGTTCTAAGTTTTTCTCAATTCCATATGATTTGACCTTAGATTTTTGAATATTATATTATTTTGCATGACCTGCATCTATATTTGGGTGATCAATTCTAAAATTATAGCAGGTCTCCCACTAGTATTGTTATTTATGTGATTCAAATTCTCCAAGACCGTCGATCATCGTAGTCAATTTTGTCGACGGGTTTATAAATATAATATTTTCTTGAGCGACGGTGTTTTGGCCTGCTCGTTGTTGTTGTTGACGGTGGTCTTGTGATGGAGCAGCGGTGGCGAAGCCTAAAATCAAAGGGGCAAGTATGATTCGTGTTCTGCACGCTTCTTGAGAGGGCGGTATAGACTCGAAAGATATCTTTAGTTCTTATTCTGATGGAGCGGAGGACGTAGCTTCTTGATTATTACCTACTTATAGAAAGAATGAAGAACAAGATTGAAATTAAAATTACAATTGAAATTGAAATAGCTTCTCGATTATGATCGATTGAGAGTGGGAACGAACAAGAAGATAGAAATTTCAGAACGGAATAAAAAGAAGTTGAATAATGGTAAGGAGAGGTATATATATGGAACGAGGGGGTACAAGGAAGACCGTGGGAAAGCTTTGGAAAAATCTGGAATTATTTCTGGGGAACTTACGGGTCCCAGAATATTCATATTGGAGTTAGTGACGGACGTTCGCCGTAGAATCCTTATAGCAATGTTATTGGAAATTTTTTTACTAATCTAATTTGTTGACCTAATTTACTATAACCTTTAAATTGACTGTACACCTATTAAATATTAAAACTTAGTGTTGCTCCAATAATTTTACTAAAATTACATTATTATGTCAAATTTTTAAATTTAAATAGCATTACTCTGTCAGTTAATAAGGGCTGAGCTCTTTTTTTTTGGGTCTGGTTGGGCTAAGCTTGACAACCGGCACTTAGTTGTTAGTGTTGTATTTATTGGAGTGACTGACGTGTAAATAAAGTGTGTGTTGTCTTAGCCTTAGCCTTAGTCAGCTGATGGTAGCATTTGTGAGAAGTCGGTAGATTATAAATGATAGTTCAATATCTAAAATATTTTGGTATTTTCAATTTATACTCTAAAAAATTATAACTCTTATACAGTATGCACGATTAAATAAAAGATAATAATATTTCAATTTAAGAAAATTGAGTACATTGAGTATTATGTACATAATTGTGTATATAATTAAGATAATATAAAAAATACAACCAAAAAAATTGTTGGGAAACGGCACAACACAGGGTCTCTTTGAAACAAATTGAAAATTTCAATTTTTTTTTGGTTTTAAAGGAAAATATGCTTGGTTTATTTGGATCCAAGCTTTTTGGACAACTTTTCCATCAACTTAAAATAACTTTTATTAGCACAAAATAAAAATTTTAAAAATGAATTTATTCAAGGGCTTTCAAGAAAAAAAACTAACATTTTTTAGAAACATACCAAACTGTTCCAAAAAAAACAGCTCCAAACAGGCGCATTGTCATGGGATAAAAAAGCACCCGGGAAGGATGCACTGCCTACCCTGAGAAGGAAGGGAATGCAAAAGCAGTGAAAATATTTACCCAGCAAACTAATGCAATTGCCTTCCTTGAAAGAACCTCTACTCATTAGAATAACTTCAGCATGGATAAACCTCACAAATATCAAACATAAGCAGATACAACTTTCCAGAAAATAAATTATACATGTTTAGCACAGAATTCACCACTGGTACTTGGCAGCAACAAGGACTTCTTCATATTTCTGAGCAGCATTGTCCCAACTGAGGTCTTGCATCATCCCCCGTCTATGGATCCCTTCCCAGCTCTCCTTGTACTGCCGGTAAGTCAATAAGCAGTTCCCCAATGCATTGATCAGCAGGTTTGCCTCGGCCCTATCAAATGTCCACCCAAGTCCCGTCTCATTAAAAGGATCAAAAGGTTGCACAGTGTCTCTCAGCCCTCCCACACCATGTACAACGGGAATAGTTCCATAGCGCATGGCATATAGCTGGTTCAGTCCACAAGGCTCAAATCTTGATGGCATCAGCAATATGTCCGCACCTGCAGTTATCCGGTGAGCTGTCTTTACCGAAAAACCAACCCATCCTCTAATTTTGTCGCGGTGTTGACTTTCAAAATGCCTGAGCATATCCTTAAGGTCAGGCCTTCCCGTGCCCAACATGACTAGTTGCACATCCTGACCAATCATCCAAGGAACCGCCTCAGCTATCAGATCAACACCTTTCTGGGGATCGAACCTCCCTATGAATCCAATCAATGGGATGTCACCACGAATGGGCAAACCAAGCTCCTTCTGTAATGCTTCCTTGCACTGTTGCTTGCCAGTCTGAAGGGTCTCCAGGGAGTAGTTAGTGTAACCATCAGATTTCAGGTATACATCCAACTCTGGGCTACAATCTTTTGTATCAATTCCATTCACTATCCCCTTCAGTTTCCAGTCGTTCTCATTGATTATCCCATGCAGACCCCAACCACCTTTAGAAGTTTTCAGCTCCCAGGCATATCCATGACTCACTGTAACAACACGATCTGCAGACTTCAGACCTGCTGCAAATATATTGAGATGCTCCCCCCCTACTGGGTCATACATTCTAAAAAAAGTCCCAAGTATTGTGGAGGAAGATCGATGTAGGAAAAATCAAACAATGGACCACGACCCTGGATGCAGCGTACAAATGCAACCATAGAAATAAGAAACAATAGTTCAGGATACTAGAAAATAGAAACAGTTGATTTACAATTTTTGAAATTTTGCTCAAACAACTAGATATCAAATCTATATGTAGACCTTGTGATCATGACAGATGAACAAGTAAAATTAATTTCTCACTTTACATTAATAAGTACTCATGGCTCCAAGTTTTGCAATGTGTCGGCGTCGTCGTTTATTTGGGACAAACAATCCCAAAATGCAAGACAGTAAATGGATAGATTCAAAGTTCATTGAGTTCCCAAAAACATCATCACATCAAGAAAATTTTTATTAATATGAAAATCTGCTTTCAAGTTTAAAACTCATCAATCAGCTGCCCAAGGAAACATCTGGAGATGATTATAAGGTTGGGGATATGGTAATCAGCGGAAATCACAAATGAGGTTGGCATGTGCACTGCATATAAGCTTGTCTGCCTGTGCAGTCAAAATATTGTGGTCTTTCGGTAATTAAGTGGAATTAAAAACGGATGATAAGCACATGGCATGATGGTAATGTGCAAGAGTCTGTCAGCTTAGGAAAAAAGATATAAACAATTACATTCCAATGAGCTTGGCATGCCAAGTACATAAAATGAAAAAAAAAACATAAAATGTAGGGGGTTTTGACAGAATGAATGTATTGTATTTTGACGGAGTATATAGTAAAACAGTAAGCAACTGTGTGTCCCTGAGTGCGGACGTTGACGCTAACTTTCATTTCATACCTACAACTCTCATCAGCCAAAAAGGTCAAGAGATCATCTACTACAAATCTATAGATAATTTTATGCTAAATTCTCAGTACAGATTTATGCTATGGATGATGTTAACAGAAAATTAAAAGTAACAAGAAAAGTTTACAATGCTTATAGAGCTAACCTGGTGAGCTATGTTGTGAATTACAAGGACAGACCTCGTGTATTTCATCAATCCATTATCCCGATAATATGCCTTTAGATATACCGGCAACAATGCAGTATGCCAATCATTTGCAATGAAAACCAAATTTCCATCTCCATAGCAGGCCCCACCACATGGGACATGCCAAGGGACCTGAAAGTCAAGATTCTCCATATTATATATAGCACTTGGGCAGATCAAAACATTGAACAAGAAAATGAGCAAGGATTAGATTTTGAATTAGACTACTGCTTAATGTCATTGCATTTTTGTATCCCCTTTCTTTCATGATTTCTCTCTTCCTTCTGTTTGTTTTTTTTTTTCCTAATTTTGGGTGCTTTTGTGGGTTCTTTTCGAGGCATAAGCTCATTCACTTTCGTGGCGTAGCTTGTTATCCATTTTGCTCATTTTCGACATGTCAGTAGCAATATAAACACCTGAGAGTATGACAGCTTTTGCCTGCACCTCTAATCCTGAACAAGATGGTAGTGACTTAGAAAGCATTAGAATCCCAAGAATCCACTACAGGAGGCCACACTGTGGCTGGCCAAAACTAAGCAACAAGGATTCTCTCATTGAAATATTTAGAATTATGATACAAACATTCTATGATAATTTGAGTTCTTTTGATTCTAGCCTTCTTTCCCTCTTTGGATATCGTTCCCATTTTAAGAGCTTTTAAAATTCATTTTGAGTTTAAGACTGGTAACAGCAGATTAGACTTCTCTGAGTCAATCTTTGGTAATTCTCCATAGTTGCACAAGCAAAAATTAATTATTCGTTCCATGCACCAATTCTAGGATTGATGGGTCATAAACAACAAGTGACAGTAAATTTTCTGAACTACGTTCTTTAGAGCCTGATCTTATATTATACCTCAACAGCCGCTTTGCACAATAAAACCCTTCGCTTCAAAATATCCTGCATCAGCGAGCAACAAAAGAAGTTAATAAACCAGAAGTTCCACAAGAAAAAATCATAAATGTTTAATGCAAATTAAAGAATATAACACAGGAAACACGAAATTAGATAAAGTAACCTGGCTTACAAACAGCATCAACATGTGGCACATCTGGAAGCAGACATCTATAAAAACTAGTAATCTGATCACACACTTCAAAGTTTTGTAGACGAATTGCATAAGAAATAGGGTGCAGTTAATTACACCTACTATCCTAATCACAAAAATTCTTAGTGGGAAGCAGCAAATGATTGTATATTGATATTCTATAAAGCCATGACATATAAGAAGTTATCTCAAATGATTATTTAGTATGAGATCATTAATCAGATGCTGATTATCTCTCAGAGACTCAAGCTAACTACCTGAGTGAACTTTATCTTACCACACGATTTCCTCCATATATATTATTTTTTCTATGCCGAAACTCAGGACTTTCCACAAAAACAAAATTTACACCATCAATATAGGCTTGGTAGTAAACCACCTCCATATCCTGCAGAGTTGCACATTGTCACAAACTTGAAATGTTTAATGTTTAATGGTTAATGATATCATAATACAGTAGGAAGTTAGTAGCATTTTAGTGTTGCTGATGCATACCTGCCCAGCAACCCTATACCTTTTCCTAACTCCAGTATCTTGAGGTTCAGCATAATTACCATAACGTGGTGCCACAACCTGGTTTCCAAACATTAAAACCACTTAAATTAACCCCAATAGACCACAAATTTATTGATATTGGTTGATGTCAGATATGCTACTGCAAGTACATCTGAGATGTTAGTACCATATTCCAACCAATTAAAATTCTTCAAGTCATTCAACCTTTTCTTTTTCTTTTTCAGAAGTCATTATGCTTTTATCAAGCAGACAAATGCAAAGTACCATTAACTACAAGATGACAATAGTATGGCTGACATGATTGACGATGATTAAATGAGCTAAAAAGTAGTAAAGTGCAGCCTAACCTAATCCCCTAAAAAAAAATTTCCACAACATAGGTTCCACTTGTTTGCAACAATTTTCTAAAAACAACTTATTTTAGCACACCACCAAGTTATAAATAGATGAAAATACTAAACTTACCATAACCCTATGACCACGCCGAGCCAAAGCCCTTGGTAAAGCCCCAGCAACATCTCCAAGCCCACCTAAGAGAACTCTTCGTAAATTAGTGTGAGAGTCGCATACAACAATAATGCACACATATGAATAGAGGCATACATTAATACTTCCCTTAGCATATATGCATACAAATACCACTCACTATATTTATGAAGCTTTGATAAGTAAGACTCGTTAATTTGATATAACGGCAAAAGGCCATGCATAACTTTATCTTAAGAAACTCAATTTTCTACTTCTACCTTTTTTTGCACATATTTTGCTTAACTGGTGTCTTGGCCTAATGATAAAGTGGGGGACTGCTTAGAAGCAGATGCCAAGGTTTCAATCATATACCCCTGAACAACAAAAATTTTTTTACTGCCAAAATATTAATGAACGTGCCAAATATGGAGGTTATGAGACCCATCCAGTCGGACAACTGTACATGCACGCACTTTCAGCCCACCACACCAGAGTGATTTTAGACTTCTATTTTAATGTTTGTGAACCGTAACAACAATATTACAAAGCAGGAATTAAAAACTGCTATCCACATAATGATAAAACAGAAAGAATGGATTTTGTAATGAGAAACTGGTACTGCAACAAAAAGAACATCCCAAATATTGTTTTCCCACCTCAGTACAGTTATTTATTGTAACATACCTGTTTTGGACCAAGGAGCACATTCTAAAGCAACCAATATAACATTCATAACATTGGGCCCAGCCAAAGGAGGGGGTTTCACATCGTCATCCGCAGGAAGGGTCTACTGTTGAATTGGGTCCCGTTATCCGATACAAGTGCGCGGGGGACCCCAAACCTTGTCACGATGTTCTTCCAGACAAACTTTTTGGTGTCTATATCTCTGATATAGGTCAGGGGTCCGCCTCCACCCGCTTAGTGAAATAGTCGGTTCCCACTATCAGGAGCCTCTTGTCTCCAGGAGCCCTTGGAAGGGGTCTAATTGGGTCTAATCCTCACTAAGCAAACGGCCAAGGACTAGTTAGTGGATGCAAATCTCCCGCTGGCTGTCTGATGGCGGGCGAGAATCTTTGGCATTGATCACCCTTTCTAACGTATGCTTAAGCGTCCCTCTGCATTCGTGGCCTCCAGTATCCCCGAGACATGATGCGGTGTGCCATGGACCGTCCACCTGAGTGTCCCCCACATATCCCTCATGCACCTCATACAGAAGAGGCTCGACTTTGTCTTTTCGGACACATAACAAGTACGGTTCGGAGAACAACTACCGGTACAGCTTCTGATCCAGGGAGACCCAGAACCTTGGGACCTTTAGCTTTATCCTTCTGGCTTCCTTAGGACATTCAGGTAGCTCCTCAGAAAGGAGAAACCTAAGTAGCGGGTCCGTCCAGCTAGAGGAATCTCCTCCCTCCTGGATAATGGCAACCCTGGGAGCTTCATCTATGTTGGAGTTGGAAAGGTACTCTATGGTGATTCTTCCTGTCATAGTGGTATTTAGTGCCGAAGCCAGGCAGGCCAGGACATCGGCGTGGGAATTCTCATCTCTAGGGACTTGTTTGACTTCAACTTTCTTGAACTTGTGGAGTAAAGTCATCGCTTCGTGATGGTAAGCCCTCATTTTAGAATCCCTTGTCTCGAATTCTCCATTGATTTAGTTGACCACTAACATGGAATCGCAATGGACGACTAACTCTATAGCTTCTACTGCCTCAGCTAGTTTGAGCCCGGAGATGAGGGCTTCGTATTCTACTTCATTGTTGGACGCTTTGAAGCCTAGCCGAATGGCTTGTTCCATGACCACACCGTCCGGGGAGACTAGTAGTACTCCAATCTCAGAACCCTTGCTGTTCGAGGATCCGTCCACACAAAGGCTCCAAGAGGCTTGTTGACCATCCGCCAAGGTCCCATCGCCAAGGAGGGATGTCTCGTCCAAGAGGGGGGTCTCTCTAGAAAACTCAGCTATGAAATCCGCCAACATTTGTCCCTTTATGGCTGCTTAAGGTCTGAAATAAATGTCATGTTCTCCCATCTCCACCGTCCATTTGGCGATTCTCCCTGATAAATCTGCCCTTTGGAGAATGGCTTTCAAAGGCTGGTCAGTTAGGACAGTAATCAGATGCGCCTGGAAGTAGTGCCTTAATTTTCTTACAGTCGTGACTAACGCCAGTGCTAGTTTTTCAAGGGGTAGGTACCTCGTCTCGGCCTCTAACAAAGCTTTGCTCACATAATACACAGGTTTTTGCTCGTGCTCATGCTCGCAGACCAATACTCCGCTTACAGAGAACTCTGACACGGCTAGGTATAGGAGCACCATTTCTCCTCCAGTTGGGACAGAGAGGGTTGGGAGAACCCTGAGGTATTCCTTGATTCCTCTAAGCACATCTTCACACTCCTGGTCCCAAGTGTCCTTCCCAACCTTCTTGATAGTCCCAAAAAAGGGTTTGCACTTGTCCGATGAGTGGGAGATGAAACGGTTCAGCGCTGCCAACATCCCTATGAGCTTCTGGACTTCTCGGACTGTTCTGGGACTTTGTATGTCCAAGATAGCTTGTATTTGTTCCGGGTTGGCTTCAACTCCACACCGACTTACCAAGTAACCGAGGAACTTTCCAGAATCAACTCCAAAGACACATTTGGCCACGTTCAGCTTTAGCCCATATTCTCAGAGGGTCAAGAAAATGTCGTCCAAATCCGTCAAGTGATTTTCGCTTCTCCTGCTTTTGACCAACATGTCATCAATACATCAATATATACCTCTATGGTGTTTTCCAACTGCCATTTGAACATCCGGTTCATAAGCCTTTGATAGGTGGCTCCCGCGTTCTTTAGGCCGAAAGACATGACCTTGTAGCAATAAACTCCCCTTGGAATGATGAAGGCGGTCTTCTCCTGGTCGGACGAATGGAGAGAAATCTGGTGGTAGCCCACCCTGGCGTTTAGGAAGGCCATCCGCTAGTGTCCTGCCATGGCGTCTACCAGCTAATCCACCTTGGGGAGGGAAAAGTCGTCCTTGGAACATGCCTTGTTCAAATCAGTGAAGTTTACACAAACGCGCAACTTTCCTTTCTTTTTTGCACAGACAGTGTTTGACAGCCATTCTAGGAATTTAACCTCTCGGATGGTGTTGGCCTTTAGGAGCTTTTCCACCTCCTCGCTCACGGGCATAGTGTGGTGCCATGCATCGTGGTTTCTGCTTTATCGGCTTGTAAGCGGGGTTGACATGAAGTCTATGAGTTATAGCGTCTAGACTTATCCCCTTTATTTCTGTGGCGTCCTATGCGAACACATATACATTCTTTCTCAGGAAATTCGTCATTTCTTCCTGCTCAGTCAGGGACATGGTGGAGCCGAGCAGGAAATACTTTTCTTTGTTTCCTTCCATCAGAAGTATCTTTTAGAGATCCTCCACTGAGCGATCTGCCGAATCCGTCCGGGGGTCGTCTACTCCTAGACGCCCAGATTGTAGTTGTTATTTATTCAGAATCTTTTCCGAAGCACGCTCTTTATCCTTGGAGACGACCCCTGCTCTTACAGCTGAATAGAAACAATTTTTGGCAGATGCCTGATCCCCATGGATCTCCTTTACTCCCTCCGGGGTGGGGAACTTCAACTTCTGATAATAAGTTGAATGCACAGCTCTGAGGGTATGCAGCCAAGCTCACCCCATAATAATATTGTAAGAAAAGTAGGAGTCGATCACCACAAACTCTATATTGGTCATAATGGGCCCTGTGGTGACTGAGAGTGTGATTTTTCCCAAGGGCAAGGCGTACGAGCCATTGAATCCCACGAGGGGCGTATGAACTTTGGCAAGGTCCAGGGTGCCAAGTCCCATGTGCTTCAAGACTTCGAAGTACATTACTTCGAAGGAGCTTCCGGAGTCCACCAAGACCCTTTTGACGTCAAAATTGTCGATCTTCAAGGTTAGGATTAAGGCGTCCTCATGGGGGAAGACTATGCCTGCCAAATCATCGTCAGAGAAAATGATCTCTACTTTGCTGGTTTGGGGCCTCTTGCTTGGCTGGCCCCCTTCCAACTCATCCACCTTTCTTGTGAAAGATATCCCTCGAGATCTGATTTGAGCGTTTTGGATGTCGGACGCACCAAGGGGCAGACATTGATCACGTCGATTACATTGCCTCAGACGGTAACTTGGTCCTTGGCATTACGGACCTCCTCCTCTAGCGTCGTTTCGATGTAGTCTTTTAGGTGCCCATCCTGGACCACCAACTTCTCCAGGAAAGACTTGTACACCCTGCAGTCCTCGGTGAGGTGTCCAAAGTCCTGATGGTAAGAACACTTCACCTTTTAGTTTCGGGTAAACGGATCACCTTGCATCTTGAGTGGCCATTTGAAGAAAGGTTCCTTCTTGATTTTATGAAACAATTTGTAGATAGGCTCCTTGAATACAGTGTGGACTTCCTTGAAGGAACTCCCAGTCGGAGGTATCAACCCTTTGCGGGAAGGGACGCCTTCCTTCTTTTTCTTAGGTGCAAGAGTCTTCCCCTTGCCCCCCACCATCTGGTCCTTGATCTGAGAATATTTATTTATCTGGGTCATCAGCTCCCCCATATCGGTCGGAGTTTTCTTGGTCAAGGATCGGTAGAGATCGATGTCTCAGGAGAGATCGAGCATGAAAGAGGCTGCTGCTATGACTTCGAAACATCCCTCCACCTCGTTCACCTCCTCCCAATAGCGAGTTGCATATTGGCGTAGGGTCACTCCTTTCTTCCGCCTCAGGGTCAGCAATGCTCCAACATCTTTTGGTCGCCTACTTCCTATGATAAAATAGGTGGAAAATTGTCTAGTAAGCTCTTTCCACGACCCCACGCTATTGGGCGAAAGAGTTTCGAACCATTTCATCCTAGGCTCATTGAGAATACCTGGCACAGTAACCGATGATCCGAGTGATATAAGAACATCATTTGCTTGTACTGCCTGAGGTAGGCTTTTGGATCAGATCGCCCGTCATAGACCTTGAACCTAGGCACTGTAAACTTCTTGGGTACCTCCATCTCTATTATGTTCTTTGTGAAAGGTGATTGGATGGCTTTATCGTCGGTATCGCCCTCCTGCGGGGTCTTGTTTCTCCTCCTGGAGTCTACCCGAGCTCTGAGGTCGTCTGCTTGCTCGGGGAGCACATCTTTGTGTGCTCGGTACCGGATAGGATGATCCCTCGTCTTGTGCCAAATAGAGAGGGTCGATCCCTCCTCGGACTCCTCCACCCCCCTTATCCGGATAGGCCCCAACGGAGGTCATTCCACGCCAACAACCTAGCCTACTTGGCTGGAATCTCCGGGAGCTGTCCCTTGGCCCTCGGGCGTTTCAGAGCCCTGGAGCTTCCTATTCTGTTGCTCAAGCAATTTTTTAGATCCTTAGATTCTACTTCCCTGACGGAAGGCTCCCGGAACCTGACTGAATTTCGCGATCCTCCACCGGAGGCTGCAAACTCGTCGAGGCGATTGAGGACATTCACGTTGTCCTTCTCCAGTTGCCGTAACCGATCCCCAAACTTCTCTTCAATCACCTCAACTAGTTGACGGGCCAGTGGGGCAGATCCCCCAAACCCGATACCCATACTAGTTTGGTGGGTTTGCTCCCTTGTATGAACAATTAGACCTTTGTTGGTACTTTCGATGTAGTTCTTCGTTTTTTAACAAGAGGGGCTGGTAAATCGATATTCCTTTGTTGAGGACCCTTCCCCTTTTGTCGAGTATTCACCATGGTCACTGTTCTTTGGAAAATCTAGTTGCTTCCCATAGACGGCGTCAGATTATGCGTGCTGATTTTCATACAATAGTTGAAATGAGAACAAATCTCTCCCGTGGTGAACTCAGGTCCGTCGATGTGATTGATCTGACAACAAGGAATGGTGATGAATTGCCTCTGGGGTTGTCCACTCGACTCCGGCTAACCGCAGGCAATTCCTGGAACTTAAGAAACAAGTTAGAAGGGCGCTGGAGTGTTTTTCGGCGTATCCCTTTCAACGATCAAGTCAGTTATTTAAAAGAGGGGAAGAAGAAAACACAGTATGGCTCTTGAGGGGTGATTTTGCGTACATTTGCAATGTGTTTTTGAGGGTTATTTATTCCTTCAAAGACTAATCATTGAGGACAGTCTAGTCAGTATGTAATGTTCAGAACTGGGGCAGTGTACACCCTATTTGGCTTGGGTATTACCCCAATATTGATTGCTCAGGCTCCCGAGCAGTCAATGCTCTTTCCCCAATGTAAGACTTTAAATGCTAGGGGCCCAGGGCATTTAATACCCCATGTCCTCGGCTTCTCACGCTACTGTGGACATCACGTCAATTAGGGATTCATTAAATGCTTGCTTGGAATAACAGCATTTCAACAGGGGTAGTATTGTATTTCTACTCTTCATCCCGCACTTTATGCCACTCGTTCAACTCTCCTTGGTTGAGTGTCTAGTTCATTCTGCTATTCTGACTTCATTGTGCAGAGTGTTATGCTAACTCCTAGTCTAGTTTAGACTTTTCAGCTGTCAATCAGTAGCCTCTAGAAGCCGAATAGGTACCCTTGGGCCCAAGGACAACTGACTCCCTCTGGATTGGAGGTCCCCTCAGTGCCGAGGGCATATGCTCAGGGTCGAGGAATTGGTCTGTCAGAGGAAGGGGGTTTCGGCGCCGAAGGAACGTAGGCTAGTATGTACCTCGGTGCCGAGAACACGTGTCAATGATCCAATAGCCTCTTAGAAGTGTCCCATCAAGAACATTAAAACATGTCTGGAAGAAGGAGGTAGTGCCTGTAACAGAATTGGTCACTCCCTCAACGTCCTCCACCCCAAGTATGGTCTGCTGTTCATTGTTGCTATTGCCAAGTGGGAGGGGTATCATTGTAGAGAAAGAGGAGAGGTGCAAAAACTAGTGGACTAGGGGCTGAAAGGTGCTAGGAGAAACTATGCCTTTGTGCTAGTCTGGTAGCTCTATTTATAGCGGGGATCTTTTGGTTTTGCCCAGAAGTAATTTGTATAGTTGGGAACACGAGACCATGGTTGAATTATCTAAGTGAAAAAAAAAAAAAAAGAATTATCTAAGTGTAAACTGATGCAGAATAAATGGTAAGAACTTTGATATTTTATTTGATAGTGGTCAATGTCATTCAATTAGGAATAGTTTAAGATGTGGTCAATCTCGCATCACTTGTTGGAGCACTTCTAAGTGTCACTGTTTCAACTTGACTTCCATGCTTGTGCTATCTGAAGATTTCCGGAACTTATCAGAAACTTAGATTTGAACTAGTGATTATAGGGGGAATTATGGTGATGGGCCTTTTGATTGGAATTATTGGTACTTGCACATCTTTAATACAAATAATAAAGCATTTGTAAGTAGTAAATTTATCTTTATTTATCAGGGAATATCAGTATATAGGAATGTTGCTAAGTAGGGGATGTCTACTGTAATCCAGTATGTTGTTTTTTATTTTTATTATTGTTCTAATCTACTTAAGTTGAAAACGCAATATTGGAAATCAATGGATTATTGTCTGGAACTGTTGGAAATGGAATCGACCGTTTATCAAAGATCTGATTGTTCATTTTACAGCAATCTTAATTTGTTATTTCACCTTGCTAAAAGCATTGGATACAACAAATTTGGTGTCGAATTTTGAGAAGAGATCTATCATGCAAATGTAATCAGTATCTAAGTTTTATTACGATTTCTTTTGTTATAAATTTGAGCTTTAGGCTTTATTTATAGGCAAATGAAAAAAATTATGGAGCACTCTGTTTATATAAATGGCCTGACTCTTTCCAGTTTTTGTAGGTTCTCTTTTCTCAATTTTCAATCTTGAAGTCACAGAATTTTTTATTTTTTGATGCCAATATCTTGGAAAATATGTTTCCAATGCTCAGATTTCAAGCGGAAAGGAATAAGGTATCACAACAAAAGGTGCTGTTATTATCAGCTAATTTTGAAGTTGCCTGGTATCCACAGGGATATTTGGGCAAAAACACAGATACACTTGCTATGTTATTAAAAAACTAGAATAGCATAACCATCTGAATAATCAAAGAAAAAAAGACAAAACTATTTAAATGTATACTACATACGAAAGGGAATAAATTCTATTTTGCAAGATGCCGACAATGCACAAGCCAAGAGTCACATGAGAAAACCAAATCTTTAAAAGCAGCGAGAATTAGTGCTTTCATGAAAGCATTTGTAGGGAAAAAGAGGCAACATAGTAAACATGGTGATTACTCATAGTTAACCATCTTCATATGCAAATTCAATATATCTAGTAACAGGGAGATACTGTCACAATCAACTTGATCATCTTCTCCAGAAAAGAACCTATGGATGGATCCCCTTACCTCAATAAGGCTCTCCCCAGCCATCTTCTTCAAGCCTCTGTTGCTTATACTGCTTCTCACATGTGCTGCTTTGTCCCACTTCCCAGCTTCAGCATACTTGTTAGCGACCATTATGAAATTTCCACTCCTCCTTGGCTCCAATTCAAGTAACTTCTCTCTTACCTTCTCACCCAGCCTGTTGTAGTCATTGAGATCATGAATGTTGCATGCGCCCAGCAGCGTCCTCCACACAATTGCGTCAGGTTTAATCGGCATATCAATGATGAAGTTATATGCTTCTTTTAGATGACCAGCACGGCCCAAAACATCTACCATTGCACCATAATGTATCATCATAGGTTTGATCCCATGCACATTCTCCATTTCATGAAAGAATCTATGTCCATCCTCCACCAGTCCAGCATGGCTACAAGCGCAGAGGACCCCAAGGAATGTCACATAATTAGGTTGAACTACATTCTTCTTCATTTTTCTGAAAAGTTCAAGGGCTTTGGTAGCAAACCCATGCTGGGCTAACCCAAGAATCATCGCACTCCATGTCCATACATTGCGTTCAAGTGTGGCATCAAAAACTAGGCTAGCATAATCCACAGCTCCACACTTGGCATACATGTCAACCAGGGATGTACCCAATTGACAATTTACAACCAACCCTTTCTCAATAACTTGGGCATGAGCCCATTTTCCCAAGTTCAGGTTTCCAAGCTCAGCACAAGCAGAAAGCAGAATTACCATCGTGGTCTCATCCGGCTTTAACCCACAGTTTCTCATCCTGACAAAATACTTAATCGATTCATAGAACCACAAGTTATCAACACAGCTAGAAATGATTGAATTCCAAGAAACGAGAGTTCTAAACAACATTTCATCGAACATCCGGCAGGCATCTACAATCTTCTTACAAGACCCATAAAAATGAATCACAGTATTCTGCACATATACATCATCATCCACTCCGTGCTTCAAAACATCCGTATGGATTTGTCGCCCTTCTTTGAGCCCCGAAAATGTAGCAGAAGCCTTGAAAAGAAATGGGTAGGTGAGCTCATTGGGTCTGGTTCTTGAACGTCGCATTGCAAGGAAAACCCATATGGCTTCTCTTGGTGAATCGCCCTTAGTAGCATAGCCCCTGATGAGATTGTTCCACGAAGAGGGTATTTGGTTTTCGGATTGTTTTATAGCTCGTCTTGCGTGATTCAAGCTTCCCGAGGGATGTAGTGCGCAAAATTGGATAATTTTATCTACAATTTGTTCATCTTTCTGGAGACCAGCGATTAGGATTTGTGCATGGATTTGAAAGAGCTGATCCAAAGAAGAGCAGGACTTGAGGAGAGAGAGGCATTGTTGCTTTTTGAAATCGGAATCCACATTCCAATTACAGTTGGAGGTTTTTGGCGGGTATATTTGCTTGGTGGTTAAGAACCGTAGCCGAACCATGCCATGAATGGGTTGCACAAGCGTTCTGGACTTTTTCTCAATTGCTGTAAAATGAACAATCAGATCTTTGCTAAACGGTCGATTCCATTTCCAACAGTTCCAGACAATAATCCATTGATTTCCAATGTTGCGTTTTCAACTTAAGTAGATTAGAACAATAATAAAAATAAAAAATAACATACCGGATTACAGTAGACATCCCCTACTTTTTGCAATGTTATCGTAATCGGACCGGTCATCGAACCAGCAAAAGGATCGGGTTCATTGGTTCAACCGTTGGGTCAACTAATCGGACCGGTCATATAATAAAAAAATAAAAATATATATATAATAATTATAAAACTTAATAATTTAGCTAAAAAATATAAAATATGTATAAAATACATAAAATTTGCCATAAAATTAATGAAATTAAGTAACAAAGTGGAGGTTATTGTTTTTTAAAATAAAGTAAAGAGGTTCAAGTGAATTATAAAGAGAAAGAAAGGGTGTCATTTATAATTTATTTAAGAATTAAAAAAAATTAATTATTTACTGATTTAGGGTAAAAAAAATTATTTATGTAATTTAATTTTTAAATAAGTATTAAACTGTCCAATTTTTATAAAACCGGCAGTTCGCGATTTTTGTTAAAAATTGACCGATTTTTCGGTTTTTAGCTAGTTCATTTCCTTAGGCGGTTCAACTAAAAAATCGAACCGGTTAAAGTCTCGGTTCACGGTTGAACCGGTTTGATCGACCAGTCTAGTCCGATTCTGATAACCCTGCTACTTAGTAACACTCCTATATATACGGATATTCTCTGATAAACAAAGATAAATTTACTACTTACAAATGTTTTATTTTTTGTATTAAAGACGTGCAAGTACCAATGATTCTAACCAAAAGGCCCATCATCATAATTCCCCCTATAATCACTAGTTCAAATCTAAGTTTCCGATAAGTTCCGGAAATCTTCAGATAGCACAAGCATGGAAGTCAAGTTGAAACAGTGACACTTAGAAGTGCTCCAACAAGTGATGCGAGATTGACCACGTCATAAACTATTCCTAATTGAATGACATTGATGACTATCAAATAAAATATCAAAATTCTTACCATTTATTCTACATCAGTTTACACTTAGATAATTCAACCATGGTCTCATGTTCCCAACTATACAAATCACTTCTGGGCAAAACCAAAAGATCCCCGCTATAAATAGAGCTACCAGGCTAGCACAAAGGCATAGTTTCTCTAGCACCTTCCAACCTCTAGTCCACTAGTTTTTGCACCTCTCCTCTTTCTCTACAATGATACCCCTCCCACTTGGCAATAGCAACAATGAACAGCAGACCATACTTGGGGTGGAGGAAGTTAAGGGAGTGACCAATTCCGTTACAGGCACTACCTCCTTCTTCCAGACGTGTTTAATGTTTTATCAAGTTCTTTTTCATCTTTCACTAATATTTTGTTCTTTCTCCAATAATTTCAAGTGTCTTTGTTTGTTATTTTGTTCTATTAAGTAGGATTAAAACAGGTTGTGCGAATTACTTAAATGTTTTATCTCACAGTCTTTGCCTTTGATTGGTTTCTTAGGATTCGGAATATTGTCCATACCATATGCATTATCATCAGGAGGGTGGTTGAGCTTGATACTTCTTCTTATTATTGCAATCGCAACCTTCTACACAACATTGTTAATGCAAAGATGTACGGATGCAGATCAAAGTATAAGAAGTTATCCTGATATTGTCGAGTGTGCATTCGGTACAAAAGGAAGAACGTTTGCATCCATTGCCATGAATGTTGAACTCTACTTGACTGTGACGAGTTTCCTAATTGTAGAAGGGGATAATTTGGTTAAAATATTTCCAGACATGGGAATTGAAATAGGTGGGCTTAGAATTGGTGGAAGAGTTTGCTTTGTGATAATTGTTGGCCTTATTACACTTCCTACTGTTTTGCTTCCTTCATAATCCTTGGCTCAATTTTGTGGGCTGGTGCATTTGATGGTATTGGATTTCAAGAAAGGGGAACTCCACTGAATTGGAAGGGATTGTCTACTGCTGTTGGCTTCTATACGTTCTGTTATGGTGTCCACAGTTATTATAAATTAATATTTTTTTAAGTCAATTCTATTATACCAAGTTTTAATATTTGATGGAGCCCACAGTTAATCCAAAGATCACAGTGAATTAGGTTAACAAATTAGATTAGTAAATTAGGTCTCAATAGCATTGCTCTTTATAATAATATTAATGTTTTAACTTTAAATTCATACATTTTATGAGTCTTTTAATATTTTTTAATAATTTCTATTAAAATTTACGACTCATTACATTTATATTATTGGTTCAAAGATGTCAAGTCCTCCACCCATTGAATTCAAAAAATTGGACAGTCTCTTATGGACAGTGTGTCATACATCAATTATAATTTATAAGTATAATTGGACCTAGTTGATGAATTGCAGGTTGGGTTTAAATAGAATAAGTTTTTCACGGTTAGACTCAGGGGCGAAGTCACCCTTGGGTTAGGGTGGGCACATGCCCCTTCAATTTTTTTGTTTCATATTAAGTATATATTTTTTGAAATAAAATTTAGACATATTTAATTGTATCCACCCTAATATTATGTTTTTGGTGATATTAATTTGAATAGACCCCTATCTAAATGATTGTTAACTTTTAGAATAATGTTATTGAAACCTAATTTAAGAACCTAATAAATTACAATATTAAGCATAATAGTAAGTCTTAATATTTAATAAACTCTATTATTTATCCAATGGTCACAAACCATTGGGTTTCATCAATTAAATTTCAAATTAGGTACAACTAATATAATTGTTAATTTTTAGACATGTTTTAGATATGTTTTGAATATAATGGTGTTATTTGATAATTTTTTAAACTTATAGAGTTATTTCGTTATTGTATAAAAATGTGTGTCGTTATATAGTAAACTATAGAATTATAAATGAAATATTGTTACCCTAATTTTACATATAAAAGAAATATTATTGATAAAATTAATTTGCAACTCTTTCAAATAATAAAAACATACAAGGGCCAATTGTAAGTAATAGTAATAATTAGTCGTATTCTTGATAAGAAATTTTAATTATTATTTTTTTATTTAAGAATATATTGATTTTTAATCTTTTATGTTTAAAAAGTATTAAATATAATTTTATGAATTTTTACGGTCTATTAAAAAAATTAAAATATATTAGGGTGCCCACCCTAAAAAAAATTTCTACCCCCGCCCCAGGTTAGACTGTAAAGTAAATACTTTATAGTCGGTCATTACACTGACACATGGTTTTTTTTGTTTTTTGTTGAAAAATGATGAAGTACAAGGAGAAAGTGTAATAAAATTAAACATCTATATTTACATTTTCTACTCCTTCTGTTAATCCTGCTTCTACGCGCTGCTGTGAGCCATGACCACACTGACAGGTCATTTAATTTTAATTCAAACACCACAAATTTAAAAGAGTCTTCAACCAAAAGAATAATAAAAAAGTTAGAAACAAAAGTGAGAGACTTACTATATCGCTCCACCAAAGAAGAAGAACGCCTAACTCTTCGTCTTTTTTCGGTCAAAATTCCAGCAAATTTTTCTGTTTCGATATTCCTCTTCGTCTTCTCATGAAATATATCAAAATTTTGGGTATTACTCTTTTCCTATTTTTTTTAAAATTTTTGGTCTGACTTTTTATGTAATGTACGGGGGTTTCAATCTCTTTCTTCCAAAAAAGTAAGAATGTGTGCATTATTTGATGGATTCCTAATTTGGTTGTTCCTTTTTTTTTTTACCTCTCACCAATCTTGAGTTTGTACAGATAAAATTCTAAATTCTTTGTCAATCGATGTATAGATCACAGTCGACACCCTACCCTTGAAATTTTTTATGGAAGACACAGAGTTGTCAAGTTTTCAAGAAGATGAATTGGTGGTGTGAGGAAGAAAGAGTATAACGATACCCGAAGATGTAGAGATTTTGAAATAAATGTACCTAAATTTCAACGGTTAAAATAAATGTATTTTCACAATTTTTAGAAAAGATAATTTTACAAAATGAACATTTACGTATCTCAATAGTGTATTTTTTTTCCAAAACATTTTTTTTTTCTGTATATTTTTTTTACAATTATGTCTAATTTGGTATTCCGACTTTCAATTACCTTTTTTCTTTTCCTAATTTGGTTGTTCAACCCACGTGCATCCTCTTATTTCTATTTTAATTTTTTGATTCATTTTGTTTGGGTTCCAACTTATACTCCAATGCTCTTATTTTGCGACTAACATGTATTTTTTATCTTTGGGTTGGGTGGGCTGCTTAAAAACAGCAAAAAAACAAAAAAAAAATTGACATGTGCTGTTAGTATTTTTTATCTTTTTATATCAGGGTGATTTATTTATGTATTTTTAGTATCCTTTAATTGCATTCAACTATTTAATATTTTGTGAAAAGGTTTTGTGTGATGACTATACCAAAGAAAGATATGTTGTAGCGCCAAATTTAGATAACATGGACCATGTGCATTTGTCTGTGAATGAAATGAACCACCAATCTATCAAGTCTTCTTTCAAGCAATGGTCCTCTAGAGCCATGTAAAGGAATTATTTTTTATGAACTAAAAGAGGATATGACTTGCTACAGAGCATAGGCAAGGCAAAAGGGTTTTTGGCATTCAAAAAAGTCATACTCAACTATCTACAAATGACAAGTCATTGATGAAAGTTTTTTGTACAAAGCATAGGCAAGGCAAAAGGGTTTTTGGCATTCAAAAAAGCCATACTAAACTATCTACAAATGACAAGTCATTGATGGAAGTTTTTTATAGTAGAATTCAGTTCGGTCCCTGGGAGATTGAATTATTGACAGTATATTTTAAGTATGTGCCTAATGAATTCAGTGAATGAATCTAATTTGAGCTACAAGTTTATTGAAATGGATCTTGAACGTAGTAAAAGTGAGATATGAAGCAATTTTTTTTGCCCTGATCATATTAATCTAGCAATTCTTCTATCCTAAAATTGAATGTCATATATATATATTTTATTTTTTTTTGGAGCTAAAACTAAACGTTAGATTGAAGTAATTAATTTTGCAGTGAAACTGCTATATAACTGAGTATTTCTATTAATGTTGCAATTTCACTGTGTTTCAATTTAACCACTTGGAATAAAAGAGCACCACAACATTGCATACACAATTGGGTTTCTAACTTCATGACTTCCTAAGTCTCTCACTTTTGTTTCTAACTTTTTTATTATTCTTTTGGTTTGTGATTTAACCATGGTTGATAAAGTGAGACCCAAATAATTAGTAAACCCAGAATAAAAGAAAGACAACGGAGGTGAAAGACTCTTCTAAAAATTCTTAGTGTTTAATTTAAAATTAAATGACGTTCACTGTATGCATAGCTGACGGTAAATTATTTGCTTTACAATCTAACAGTGAAAAACTTATTCTTGGATTCAATCCTCTACTTTAAGATTTTAAAAATTATGACACTTGTCATAAAATAATAAATTCAAGGCAATAGTTAATGAGTAAAGTTATACTTTTTCAAATTTTTTATCAAGTTTTTTTATTTGAAATGATGTGACATAATTTTTATTTTTAAATATTAATATAACTCGCTTATTAAATAATAAAAATTATATCACATCATTTAACACAAAAATTCATAAAGTATCTTATCAGTGTTGATGTTTAACTTTATCAAAATTGCTATAGTTACCAAACTTACACCAAATGACGTGGAAAGCACATGGGGCCCACAACTTTATCAAAATCAAGTCATTTCACACCGTCAAAAAACTTTCATCATAATACTTCACATCGTCAAATGGCTTTAACGCCATTACTCTTTCCAAAATGTCAAATTCTCGCCGATTTTTCATGAAATCTTATTCAACTAGAATCTTGGTTTCACAAAACATTGTTGGTGATCTTTGTTGCCATTCATCAACCAGAATATTGGTGTAACAAAAAACTATAATTTTTTTTATCTATGTCAGGTACGTGCATACAATTTAATTGGATTCCTTAGGGTTTGGTTTTTGATATTTTTTTTTCTATATTTTTGAAATTGACACATTATAAATTGTTAGAATACCTAAATACAATAGCAAAAAACCACTAATTTTGACATCATGATTTGTCAAAGGAGCCATTGGTTGCATATGATGCCGCACTACATCTTAATTATTCAATGCTCGCACATACTCGTCACATTAGGCAATAAAGTAATTACAAATCTACATTTTATCGAATGAGCATATGATATTTGTCAATATAAAATTTGTGAATGACCAAATAAAAACCAACAAAACAATAAATAGAAATGACATATGTAAAATTTTTGTAAATCCAATAAATTTTTCTTGATATAAATTGAAGAAAATCAATTTTCATTTTTCTCAACATAAATCTAAGAATATCAATATACTATCCAACTAAAATATACATTCCAATTTGTGTGTTAAAAAACCAAGAAAAATAGTCGAAATCCACACCCTAAAAACCCAATCAAATGTTATTTAACATACACAAAAATATCACAACAAATAGAAAATAAAAGTTTAGAAGGATGTCGAAAATGGAGGACCACAACATTAAAATGACAATAATGTTATACTGATCAAATTTTGGGACCAAATTAAGAGCTCAAATGACATGATAATATATGATTTGGAGTCTTTATTGGCCCTCAAATGACATGAAACCAAATAAAAAAATTCAACTCAACTGCCATGTCATTTAGGCTTTTAACTTGGTCCTAAAATTTAGTTAGTATAACATTATTGTTAAAATGGAGATAAACACCGTTTTGTATTCGACATTCACACCAACTCGTCAAAGTATAGTATAGTGAAGGAAGACCACATTTTGTTTCCTCTAGCACAGATATCAAGATATGAGTTGCAAAGCATTTTGACGAAAGTTTTTAACGGCGTTACTTTTTTTGGAATGAATTGATTTTGATAAAGATGTGGACCATTTACTTTCCATGATAAATTTTGGTAAATATAATATTATTGTTAACTTATATCTTATTGCACCAGATCATTTGTTTCATAGAAATTTAAGTATCTATTTGTCTAATTTATTTTAACACAGGAACCTAAACTTAAGTAGTTTGGCTTTGAGGTTAAGAACGTCGAAAAATTAAAACTATTTTGTTGTATTATTATTTTTTCTCACCATCGGTAAATCTGGATTTTTTATTTTTATTTATAAATTACCCAAACCAGTCAATAAAATGTCTCTATCCTTTAGGTATATATCACAGATAACCTAACAAATCTAACAAAACAATCAAAAACTTGCAACACAGTAAGTTTAAGATAATGCGTGAAACAGACCAAGAAAAAAAACACAAAATCACTCGGTTTCAGCCTCCAACAATAATATTGAGGAGCGAATGTAGGTGTTCCTGTTTCACCGTCCACCTTAACAAAGGCATAATGAATTAAAAATCCACAAGGCTGGAAGTTTAACTGTATCAGGGTACACGTTGACACTAAAGTAGTACACGGTAAAGAGCTCAAACATTGTGAAGTAAAAGGATCTATCACTAAGAAGACTCTAGTTCAAAGCCTCAAGAAGTAATGGCCATAATCAGATCTTGATGCACGAGATGCAGTGATTCTAGGCTAGAATAACACAAATAAAACTTCAACAACAAATTGAGGAACTATAATTGATCAGTCCATACAGGTATGCCATCAAAAACCAATGGGACATGGAAGAGGTGAGGCCGTACCCATATCAAACTTTTTCCTGTTAATATCTATACCAATTATTCGTGAAGCATTAGCGGCTTTAGATTGTTGGGGAAATTAGAATAATTATACAAAATTTTACTTAACAAAATAATATTTAGATCACAAACTAACAAAAATATGCAAATAAATATAAAATAACAATCAATTTAGAATAGAATAAAATACATACTATAAATTAAAAATAACTGGTCTGTGAGTCCGAGAGTCGTGTGAACACTGTTCTACAGTAGCTGACCCTCCCCTCCCCAACGCGAGAATACTGACGGACACTAGCGACTCTAAAATTAAACTCAGACGCTCGCAGCAGCACCTTCTCAATAATCATGCCCACTAAAAAGAAAGGATGAACCTGACTCAAATCAAAGTTATCCAAAAGGTAAACTAATAGATGATAATTAAAAAAGTTGATCAAGTATAAAAGAATTGAAATAAGCAATTGGAAAGTCTCTGTAGTGTTTATTTCGTTGCAAGCCAAAAGCTATCTCAAAGCCACTTATACACCCATTAGGTTAGTAACTTATACACATAGCCTTTAAAACTATTTTTAAGATGATTAATTTTTATTTTTTAATATACACAATAAATTAGATAAAAATATGTAACTGAAAATTCAAAACTCAATTAAAAAATATGTAACTGAAACTATTTAAACTCAATTAAAATGGATATTCAATGAAAAGTTTTAAACACTTAATTTTATTCTTACAAAATCATCCAATGGACCACGACCCTGGATGCAGCATACAAATGCAACCATAGAAAGAAGAAACATCAGTTCAGGATACTAGAAAATAGAAACAGTTGATTTACAATTTTTGAAATTTTGCTCAAACAACTAGATATCAAATCTATATGTAGACCTTGTGATCATGACAGATGAACAAGTAAAATTAATTTCTCAATTTACATTAATAAGTACTCATGGCTTCAAGTTTTGCAATGTGTCGGCATCGGCGTTTATTTGGGACAAACAATCCCAACATGCAAGACAGTAAACGGAAAGAGCCAAAGTTCATTGAGTTCCCAAAAAAATCAAAACATCCACAAATTTTTTATTAATATGAAAATCTGCTTTCAAGTTTAAAACTCATCAATCAGCTGCCCAAGGAAACATCTGGAGATGATTATAAGGTTGGGGATAAGGTAATCAGCGGAAATCACAAATGAGGTTGGCAAGTGCACTGCATATAAGCTTGTCTGTCTGTGCAGTCAAAATATTGTGAACTTTCGGTAATTAAGTGGAATTAAAAACAGATGATAAGCACATGGCATGATGGTAATGTGCAAGAGTCTGTCAGCTTACGAAAAAAGATATAAACAATTACATTCCAATGAGCTTGGCATGCCAAGTACATAAAATGAAAAAAAAAACATAAAATGTAGGGGGTTTTGACAGAATGAATGTATTGTATTTTGACGGAGTATATAGTAAAACAGTAAGCAACTGTGTGTCCCTGAGTGCGGACGTTGACGCTAACTTTCATTTCATTCCTACAACTCTCATCAGCCAAAAAGGTTAAGAGATCATCTACTACAAATCTATAGATAATTTTATGCTAAATTCTCGGTACAGATTTATGCTATGGATGATGTTAAGAGAAAATTAAGCATAACAAGAAAAGTTTACAATGCTTATAGAGCTAACCTGGTGAGCTGTGTTGTGAATTACAAGGCCGGACCTCGTGTATTTCATCAATCCATTATCCCGATAATACGCCTTTAGATATACCGGCAACAATGCAGTATGCCAATCATTTGCAATGAAAACCAAATTTCCATCTCCATAGCAGGCCCCACCACATGGGACATGCCAAGGGACCTGAAAGTCAAGATTCTCCATATTATATATAGGACTTGGGCAGATCAAAACATTGAACAAGAAAATGAGCAAGGATTAGATTTTGAATTAGACTACTGCTTAATGTCATTGCATTTTTGTATCCCCTTTCTTTCATGATTTCTCCCTTCCTTCTGTGTGTTTTTTTTTTCCTAATTTTGGGTGCTTTTGTGGGTTTTTTCGGGGCATAAGGTCATTCACTTTCATGGTGTAGCTTGTTATCCATTTTGCTCATTTTCGACATGTCAGTAGCAATATAAACACCTGAGAGTATGACAGCTTTTGCCTGCACCTATACTCCTGAACAAGATGGTAGTGACTTAGAAAGCATTATAATCCCAAGAATCCACAACAGGAGGCCACACTGTGGCTGGCCAAAACTAAGCAACAGGGAGTCTCTCATTGAAATATTTAGAATTATGATACAAACATTCTATGATAATTTGAGTTCTTTTGATTCTAGCCTTCTTTCCCTTTTGGATATTGTTCCCCTTTTAAGAGCCTTTAAATTGGTTTTGAGTTTAAGACTGGTAACAGCAGATTAGACTTCTCTGAGTCAATCTTTGGTAATTCTCCATAGTTGCACAAGCCAAAATTAATTATTCGTTCCATGCACCAATTCTAGGATTGATGGGTCATAAACAACAAGTGACAGTAAATTTTCTGAACTACGTTCTTTAGAGCCTGATATTATATTATACCTCAAAAGCCGTTTTGCACAATAAAACCATTCGCTTCAAAATATCCTGCATCAGCGAGCAACAAAAGACGTTAATAAACCAGAAGTTCCACAAGAAAAAATCATAAAAGTTTAATGCAAATTAAAGAATATAATACAGGAAACACGAAATTAGATAAGGTAACCCGGCTCACAAACAGCATCAACATGTGGCACATCTGGAAGCAGACATCTATAAAAACTAGTAATCTGATCTCACACTTCAAAATTTTGTAGACGAATTGCGTAAGAAATAGGGTGCAGTTAATTACACCTACTATCCTAATCACAAAAATTCTTAGTGGGAAGCAGCAAATGATTGTAAATTGATATTCTATAAAGCCGTGACATATAAGAAGTTATCTCAAATGATTATTTAGCTTGAGATCGTTAATCAGACACTGATTATCTCTCAGAGACTCAAGCTAAATACCTGAGTGAACTTTATCTTAACAGATGATTTCCTCATATATATTATTTTCTCTATGCCGAAACTCAGAACTTTCACCATCAATATAGGCTTGGTAGTAAACCACCTCCATATCCTGCAAAGTTGCACATTGTCACAAACTTGAAATGTTTAATGGTTAATGATATCATAATACAGTAGGAAGTTAGTAGCATTTTAGTGCTGCTGATGCATACCTGCCCAGCAACCCTATACCTTTTCCCAACTCCAGTATCTTGAGGTTCAGCATAATTACCATAACGTGGTGCCACAACCTGGTTTCCAACCATTAAAACCACTTAAATTAACCCCTATAGACTACAAATTTATTGATATTGGTTGATGTCAGATATGCTACTGCAAGTACATCTGAGATGTTAGTACCATATTCCAGCCATTTAAAATTCTTCAAGTCATTCAACCTTTTCTTTTTCTTTTTCAGAAGTCATTAGGCTTTTATCAAGCAGACAAATGCAAAGTACCATTAACTACAAGATGACAATAGTATGCCCGATATGATTGAAGATGATTAAATGAGTCCAAAAACTAGTAAAGTGCAGCCTAACCTAATCCCCATAGGTTCCACTTGTTTGCAACAATTTTCTAAAAACAACTTATTTTAGCACACCACCAAGTTATAAACAGATGAAAATACTAAACTTACCATAACCCTATGACCACGCCAAGCCAAAGCCTTTGGTAAAGCCCCAGCAACATCTCCAAGCCCACCTAAGAGAACTCTTTGTAAATTAGTGTGAGAGTCGCATACTAAAATAATGCACACATATGAATAGAGGCATACATTAATACTTCCCTTAGCATATATGCATACACATACCACTCACTATATTTCTGAAGCTTTGATAAGTAAGACTTGTTAATTTAATATAACGGCAAAAGGCCATGCATAACTTTATCTTAAGAAACTCAATTTTCTACTTTTACCTTTTTTTGCATATGCCAAGGTTTGAATCATATACCCCTGAACAACAAAAATTTTTTTACTGCCAATATATTAATGAACATGCCAAATATGGAGGTTATGAGACCCATCCAGTCGGACAACTGTACATGCACGCACTTTCAGCCCACCACACCAGAGTGATTTTAGACTTCTATTTTAATGTTTGTGAACCGTAACAACAGTATTACAAAGCAGGAATTAAAAACTGCTATCCACATAATGATAAAACAGAAAGAATAGATTTTGTAATGAGAAACTGGTACTGTAACAAAAAGAACATCCGAAATATTGTTTTCCCACCTCAGTACAGTTTATTGTAATATACCTGTTTTAGACCAAGGTGCACATTCTGCAGCAACCAATATAACATTCATAACATTGGGCCCAGCCAAAGGAGGGGGTTTCACATTGTCATTCGCAGGATCATTTGCCTCACCAGTCACCTCTTGTAAACTTGATTCTTTAAAATCTTCTTTTTGTTCATCTTTTATAATGGATGTTGCAGAGAAACTCGAAAGAAAGGATGGCAGCTCAGCGGCCCTAACTGCCTCTGAAGCAGTGTCTGTTAACTGTTTGCGGGAATTTACATATAAGGAACTCTTTTGAATGGGTAAGTCCTCAGTTTCCTTTGCACCTTCATCAGAAGGAATTTTTTCCAATGCGTTTGGGGAATTTGCACTGAAAGAAGCCTTTTTAGGAGGTAGGTCCTCAGGCTCCTTTGTGGTAGATAAATTTCCATTACTATCATCTTCATCAGTGGCATTATCATGGGTTGAAGCAATATTCAGACTTGAAAAAGTGATGTCCTCCTCTTCGTTGGAAAATTGGCCTTGTGGGTCTACTATACTATTCTTAATGGTTGAAACTAGTTTCCTTCTTTCTGCAATCTACAATGCCAAAAGAAGACCAGCAAGATCACTTTCAAAACCAAAAAGAAAATAAATACCTTCAGGAAATTATAGTGCCTGAGACTATCAAATTTAGATAACCCAATACAAAATGAGAACGACAATTGCCAAAACGAGATTATGCTGTTAAATGAGGGATTATCCTGCTCAGCTAATCAAAATTAGGTAATGCAATAAAATGAGAAATAAGTCGACATTTTGAACAATTGATGATATGAGAAGCAGTATAGTAGTTAAAAGAATTTATCAACGAGATTAAAGATGAAAATTTCTTGCTGAAGTAGGTCATTTTGCATGGCTAGAACCTTCTTGCTCTTCTCTATTGTGGCCTGAAATGTATCCTCTGATTTATCACCATCTTCAACGTCTCCAGAGCCCTTTTCTTTTGCTCTCAGACGCTTAGTTCTCCATGAAATTGAAGACGACCTACCAATATCCTCACCCACAACTTTGAAACACCCAAATACCGAATCAGTCAAAACGCCAGAATCAAGAAACTTTAACGGCCTATACGCGAATAAAGGAAAGTTTGGTCGCCGATAATTAGCAGAGTGAAGAACAGAACCCTCCATTGCAGTGTCGATCACAAAAGGAAGAGACCCCATAGATGCCATTAAGATGTTCAATTTTCTACCTAAGAGAACTCACTAAGATTTTCGAGAAACTGAGATGAGTTAGTGGAAACTGAAGCAAACCCAGTAGAGGAAAATGAGATAAAGAGACCAAATTGATGGTTTTGAAATTGGGGGCAGCAAGAGGAGTTATATGCGAAGGGAGATAAGTGTTGGATTGGATTTTGAAAGGAAATCATGGACAAGAGATCAAGTCTGTCTCTTTTTAAGAGGTTCGTTGGAAATGTGCAAATGTGCCACACTGAAAGAAAATCATTGGGATGATTTGAGGCTCAGATTTGGCTGAGAATTGCAAACCAGAAATTTGAAATCTGGTTCATATTAAGCTGCCAAAAAAATCACAAATTTTCTAGCCTTTACACAGTACATGAAAAGGCTCATACCTGTTTATTTTGCTTTTATTTATTTTTTTTTACTTTTGAAGGATATCCTGATTAGTTTACATACATTTCAACTAATCTCTTTTTTTATCTGACCAAAAACAGGTTATTTATGCTGAAACTAGGATATTAATGAGGCATTCATGGCTTGACCCAAAGAAATTATCAAGGTTCAAAATCAAGATATCAAAATTTATAGCTCATTTCTAACTCCCAATTTTTTTTTTTAAACCATCAAAATTTTATTGAGTAAAATCAGACTTTACAAGAACCAAAGAATTACAGGAATTAACAAATTTACAAGAAACAAATGAGCCATTAAATGGCTGTAATCCTTCAAGAATTCCAAACAATATGAACAGTTTTATTCCAGAAACTCTCTGGAGACACAGAACTCAGAAGACCTCCCATCCTGCACAGCCTTGTTCACTAGACTGTCAGCCACAGAATTGGCCTCACGAAATACATGCTTCCGCTGAAAATTCATTCTTGCCAGCACTTGGTTAATCTGCTTTAGAACACTTAAAAAAGGCCAAGGACATCCACATTCGTTTTAAAGAATGTTGACTAGAACCAATGAATCAGATTCTATCTCAAGTCTGTGAACACTCAACCCAAATGCTTCCACTAAACATAACCCATCTAGCATAGCCCTAAATTCAGCACCCATATTTGAACATATACCATAAAAAAAAGATGCAGCCAACACCACACCACCCCACTCATTTCTCAATACAGCTCCCCCAGCCCAGCCATACCAGGGTTACCTTTCGCTGCCCCATCTACATTAAGCTTCATACACCCCTCTGCAGGCTTTTCCCATCTAACCCACACTGCTCTAACCCTAAGCACATAGAGCACCACAATAACCAGCACTTGTAAGAAAGCACCTCCTCTTTCCACATCCAACACCTTTGGCCTAATATTCCTTACTGGGCATCTCAAAATACTGCAAAGTTTGAGAAAAACTGAGTAGGAATTTTGACACCCTTCCCCAGCCCTTCTCTTACATCTCTCCTTCCAAACCAACCAAAAAATTAACAGAGCAAGACTCCTTACCAATCCACGCCCCAAGGACTGCCTTCTAAAGATTCTACATATTCTCTGCATTCTCACTAAAGGCATTTCATTTTCAATAAGCCGAAACCCAGCCATAGAAGCCATTCTTTTCCAAATAGCCTTTACATAGCTACATTCCATAAAAAGATGCACAGAATCCTCCCCTGCACTTCCACACAAAGAGCACCTGCTCACCATATATACCCCACACAATCGAATTCTAGAATCCATAGGCAAAGCTTTCCTCATTAACTTCCATCCTACCAGCTGGGCACTTGGAGCAGTCTTCATACTCCAAATTGCCTTCACAACACTACTTTCCTCACTTCTGTGCCTCACCAGACTCCATGCTGTTTTAACAGAAAATAGACCAGAGCTTGATCTCTGCCAAACCAACTTATCAGCTGAGTCTGATAAAGTAATCCCAGCCCCTAACAGATCCTCCTTGATTTGGTCATTCATCAACTGTCCAAACTGATCCAACTGCCAGCTTGAATTCACCAACACCTCACAAACCTTTGGAAAAACTGTTGGCATACTATCTAATCTAAATAACAAAGGACTATCCCCCAACCAACATTCACACCAAAAAATCAGTCAGATCACCTTTCCCCACCAACCGCTTGGATTGCATAACGACCTTCTCAAAGTAAGGCCTTAAAACCTCCAAGCTCTTAAAATGACTCCTTCCACACATCTCAACAAGTGCTTTCCTTTTAAAAATTTTGTAGCAAACACCTTTGCCCATAAAGAATTCCCCTGTAACAAATTCCACACCTGTTTCATTCTAAAAGCTATCTGCAAATCCTCAAAACTCCTCATACCCAACCCTCCTTCCAGTTTAGACAGAGCAACCTTCTCCCATGACACCCAATGTCTTTTTCTAATATCCAATTTGTTTGACCATATAAAACCAGCCATCATACCATTCAACTTATGAATTACAGTCTTAGGCAAATTCTGACAGGTCAAAATGTGAATTGGAATAGTATTCAACACAAACTGAACCATTAATACTCTACCCATGTTAGACAGCATTTTACAATACCATCCTTCCAATCTAGCTCTGAACTTAGCTATTATATCTTCAAAATATCTGATTCTAGATCTCCCTTTGAAAATAGGACATCCCAAATATGTAAAAGGATAGCTCCTGACTGGAATACCTACTAAAGCAGACAACTCCAATTTCCTACTGGCAGAAATCAATCTTGAACAGTACATAGAACTCTTCTGTACATTAATCCTCTGCCCAGAACAAGATTCATAATCCCCCAAAAATTTCAACAGATTCTTCATTGACCTCTTATCTCCCCTCAAGAACACCAAAGTGTCATCTGCAAATAGCAAATGACTAATTAATGATGTACCTCTCCCCAGGTGAAAACATTTGATCTTACCTTCCAGATATAACCTTCTCAAACCTCTACTGAGAGCCTCCTCTGCCAAGATAAAAAGACTAGGGGATACAAACCAACTCTCTTACCATTCACACATACTGATACAAACTGACTCTCCAAGCAGTTGGAAATGATATTCACAAATAGCTCAGAAAATCCAAAACTCAAACAAAATTTTAAACAGAAAGTCCCATTCCAACCTGTCGTAAGCTTTCATCATATCCAATTTGAGAATTAAATTCCCAGCTTTTACCTTCCTATCCAAATCCTCCACCATAAACTGGGCTAAAGCAACACACTCCCCAACATTCCTCCCTCTAACAAAACCATGCTGCTATTGCGAAACCATAATAGGTAAAACAGATGCCAATCTAACAGCCAGAAGCTTAGTAAAAATTTTATACACACAATTACATAAGCTTATTGGCCTATAATCTGAAAAGGATGTAGGGCTAGCTTTCTTAGGAATCAACACTAACAACAGAGAATTCACTGATCTAGGAACTTTGCCTCCTCTAAGAAAGAAATTTACAGCCTTTACCACATCACCTTTAATAATATCCCAGGCTACTTGAAAAAAATTTCCAGAAAAACCATCCACCCTAGGTGCACTTTGCACAGACATCGAAAACACCACAGCTTTAACCTCCTCCACTGAAGCCTCATCAAGAAGATCCCTGTTCATTCTATCATTAACTAAAGTGGAATATCAGAAATAAACTCTCCTGCAATGAGTGCTGTTCAGACTTAAATAAAGAAGAATAAAAGTCCACAGCTACCTCACCAATCTCCTCATCAGTTTTAACCCATAAACCTGCACCATTTTGAATTCTACATATACGATTCCTCATAGCCTTCCCTTTCGCCAAAGCGTGATAAAATTGAGTATTTCTTTCTCCCTCCACAGCCCATTTAATATTTGCCTTCTGCCTCCAAAAAATCTCCTCAATTCTCAACGCCTCATCTAACTCCTTCTGAGGCTTATCCAAAGCCTGTTCATTAATTCAAGAAAATATTCTCAATTGGATTTTGAGAATATATCCCTTCCCACTTAGCAGAAACAAGAGCCACAAAACCTGGATCCTCAACCGACATGTCTTGAAACTTAAAATAAGAAATCCTTACCTGCATGGACTCCTGTATTTTAATCAGAATAGGACAGTGGTCAGATCCACTTCTCCCTAGATGAAAAACTTCAGTTTTGCCAAATCTCAAACACCAACTAGGATTGAACAGAAATCTGTCAATCCTCTGCCACATTCTACAATTCCCCTGTCTATTATTACACCAGGTATATTCACTTCCACTAAAACCCACATCTTGCAAACCAGCAGTATGCACAAATTCACCAAATTCTTCCATTGAAACACATGGAGGATAAGTTCCCCCAAGCCTTTCATTTGAATTTAAAATGGCATTAAAGTCACCTCCAACCATCCAAACAGAGCCAAAAGGAATAGGCAAAGATAACAGATGTAACCAAAGAAGCCTTCTCAAAATATGATCACAGCAGGCATACACCCAAGAAACATATACCTCTTCAGAGCCCAAATAAGAAACACTAACAGTTAAAGCCAGTTCATGCTGAGCAATAACCTGAACATTAACCCTATTATCCCAAAGCAACCACAAGTTCCGTTCAGCTAAAGGATTAAAAATAGAGTAGGACATTCCCAGATACCTCCCCAAATCATGCAATTTACCCCATACATCTTAGGTTCCTGAATAGAAACCATACATATATCATGCATACTCACAAGTTTTTTAAGCCTTCTCCTTTTAGAAGCCTTTCCAGCTCCTCTCATATTCCATGACAGACAACTGATCATATTAGAGAATAAGAGACTTACTTCTTGGCCTCAGCCTATCAGTAACATCCAGTGAACCCACCTCCAAATAATCTGATTCTGAATCCATTGAGTCATCATCATCAATATCCTTCAGTTGACCCCTGGATCTACCTTGTCTCAGCAAACTTCCATCATCAGACCAGTACCCTTGATCAGGCGGATCAGTCCTCCTTACTATTCCTGTTTCATCATCAACAGTATTTACACCCACTCTTGCAACATATTGGTGATTTCCATAAAAGGAATCTCTAGAGGAGAGAGAAACCTTTTTATTTAAACCACAAAATTCACCACCACCAGCTTTATCAAAACTATCACCAGATAAGCACTACATTTCTCCCACCATTAACAATTGATTTCCCCTCCCCTCATTATTCTGACTCAACTGTATCTCCTCAACACTTTTACCCATTTCTATCCCACCTGCAACATCCTCATGTGGCTGATCTAATTGAACAATCACTGATTGCATCTGAGGATCCCATCTCTCTTCTGGCCTAACTCCCAACAATTGTTCTTCCTCAATTTCCTTCACAGCTAAATTCTCCTCCGTACCTGAACCTTCCCCTTGAATAGAACCCCCATCATCTTTATCAGCTAGAGGACCAAATCTATTCACATCCTCATCCACAATTTCTACAGACTTCTGCTTGAACACCTTTTTTCCTTTGTGATTATTTCCCACCTGTATAAAAACCTTCTCTTTCACACCTTCAGTATTCCCCTCAACTTCCTTATAAGCTATTTCAGCAGGAACAAGATCCTTTTGGTTATTAATGTCCATCTCTTCCTTTTTCTTTTTTCTACACAGACTTCCATCATGCCCTTGTTTCAAACAATTTGGGCAGTATTTGCAGTCCTTCTCGTAACAAATTCTAACTCTCACTTGAACTACCTTTGACATTAAAAAAGTTCATTTTGCTTTATCATATGTGAAAAATGTGGGAACCTCTAGGTCAGTGTGGGATTATACCAATATCTTTAGGGCTATTTATGGATTTTCACTCGCATGTTTAAAAGATACAAGCAATTTCTAAATAAACTTGTGAAACATTGCATTCACATATATTAAAAACTAGTAATTGCCCATGCCTGATGGCACGTGATAACAAAAAATTAAATTAATCCGTGCCTAAGGCAATTTGCTAACTAAAAAACCCGTCAATTTGAAATAAAATTTCCTTCATTTACTTTAAATAAAGAAATTGAAATCAATCAAGTCCCCACTATTTTTTAAAAAATATCAACACAATTTCCTCTATAGATAAGAACCTAAGGGAATCTCAACTTGTCCATAGAACTTATATATTTCATTGTATGTATCATTGTCGAATACAAACTATTGCATAACCAATCTCGAGAAAAAATTACCCAACCTAAATCAAAGATAACATCATAATTCAAACAAAATATATAATCATCACAATCATCATAATCCAACTCTATTTCCCCCAAAATCACCATTCCAAATCCAACCATCAATTCTCATCAAACAACATTTCGTCATGTGTGATTAGCTCAACTTACTAAACACGGAACAAACAAAACAAATGCAAACTGGACACACACAAAACACACGTGTACAAAGAGATAAATAATTCTCTTCAACTTCATATTCTTTAGCAAAGAGAGACAACCGAAAAAATATATATCAATAACATTGCTAACAACCACCACAATATTGTCTAATTGGGATCAACGTCTTCTGGATGTAAAGTCACAAAAAAATAATCTTAAGCATGCTTACATGTATACCCAAAAATATGAGGCAAAACCACACTGAAAATCCGAAACTTATGTCCACTTGCTTTTCTCGTCAGTTGGAATTTAACATAATTCAAAAAAAAAAAAAATCCAATAGCAACGAACTCATGTCTAAAGGCACTACGTAACAAAAAAAATTATATATTAGTAAAAATATGGCCCAAACCAAATACTGAACTCACCAAATAACACACAATATAAATTTCTACTAAGACAACAATAAAATCATAAATATGGGCTACCATATTAAAAAGGGCAAATAATTATAGGAACCAACATAAGGGAAAACCAACTCAATCACCATCTACTATATTATAGTTCTGGGAAATTAAAAGCTCTAAATAAACACTTTTCAAAACAAAATGTATACTTCTTAAAAAATTCAACCCCAAAACTAAAGTGGAACACTATACACATGATAGGAATTCAATCTCAAAGCCAAAATTATTTTCTAGATTATTTACAAATCAAGTCTAGAATGGAAAAAAAAAAGTCACACTCGTCCCTATAGGCATTGTAACACAAAAATAAAAAGCCAACAATTCATGCATTAACATCAAGATTTTTTTTTTGGTCTAGGATAACACAAATTTAATAGGAAATTGAGACTACAGACAAAATCATTCATGATAAGATATGAATAAAAGAAAATTGATTGTCATTCAAGACTAACATTTTTCACCTTAAATACATAAAACAATTAATATCAATATATACTAATAAAACAAGGCTTCCATGAATTCTTTAAATTGTGATAGCTTTACAGTTAAGAATGTTCAAGTGAATTTTTTGGAAGCAGGAAAAACCCAACTCTCTCACCAGCTCTCAAGTCAAGCGATGTATCTATTGTCAACAAAGATCCAAATGCCTAAAATTAAATCCATCACCATGTAAATTACCCAATTTCATACTTATATGGAATCCACGAAGCCACCAAGCATATATCTAAAAAAAACATAGCAAACATAGAAACCACTTGGCACCCATGTGTGAAAACAACACTAATCTAAAAACCAACAAACAATTAAAATCATTACAGGCTATAATCATTATCAAAAAGAGAAATTATATAATCAAAAATAAAATTAAAACCTTTTATGCAGTAAGTGGAAAACATTAGTGTCATATACCAATAAAATGTACATTCATTACGTCCTTGCCAAAAATAGAGGCAATTTTTCTCCTTTGTCATATACAAAACTAACCTACAAATTTTATAAACATATGTAACTAAGAACAATTTCAATAAAATTAACCTAAAATTCAAATGATTAAATTAACATGATGTCATGGAAAACCACAATTTGAAGATCCAACTATTACAAAATAAAACAACACTGCTACAATGTTTACTAACTCCAAATTAGAATCCATACAATCAAACTTTTCACCAAACTCACAATTATATAACAGTGTTGCCTTAACATAATTGTTTATCCAATCATTTATCAGCTTCATAATTATAATAGTCATAAACATCTTTATACACATAAAATCATAGATCGTCATCCATCTATCAAACAAAATTTTGACATTTAAGCATAATTTTAGCATTCAATATCATATTTTCAGCATTTGCACAATAATATTACTGGAGTAAAATCATAAGCAGCCTACTTAAAAATACCAAAAACAACTAAGCGACATGAGTAGTTCAAATGCCACAAAGGCATTCAAAATTTATAAACAGAATGAGAACTTTAAATGCATAAGCCATTGAATAGCAACTACACAACTCTTATAGAAAAATTAATCACAATAGCGGACGTGGTAAACCAACACTAAAGTGCCGACAACATCACCAACAACCTCTAGATTTTATCACCAAGCAAAAACAATGAAAATATCCCGAGAGAATGGCCTTTTATCAAAATAAATCTCTCTAGTAATTTTACCATGAACATGGCCTGTCATGCCACCATTCCACTAAATTCTAGCGTTAGACCCGTGTAAAGGCAATATAGAACTCAAAAAAAATCGTCAATTAAAAAGTTAGACCTAGTTAAATAACCAATAAAAAAAAAAGCAAAGGAAAAAATAAAACTAATAGCAATTGGAACATTTCTTAGTTATCACACCAAAATTTCACCCTTACCAAATAATTTCCCTACGTCCTCATGCTCAAAACAATAACTGCAAATACATGAGTTGCCCAACCCTCAGAGACTCGGACCCAATGCCATGCTACAATTTCAGTGGCAAATAAATGTCCAACAAAATATTAAAACCCAAATAGGATGTTATATCTGTAGGCCTATCCTTTCAAATGAATTCATTTGACAGAAGCAATATGAAGAACAATCAATACTAACAATAGGGTCATACCTGCAAGATCTTTCACCAAATCATCCGCACACTCTCTTAGCCGAGCTTTTAAGTTTCCTAATTAGCTGTAATAACAAATAGATAGCCAAAAATTCAGATTCTTCAAAATATTCCCTCCCCCAAACACAAAAATGGGAAACACCAATAGTTAAAAAAAACAACCACCAAGTTGTATATGGCGATGGTTGGTGGTGGTGGTGGCTACACGGTCATTTCATGAAACTAACACGCATTTCAATCAAAATGACCATAACATTCAAATGTAAGACCCTACCATTAAATCGCAAACCAAACTTCCAAGTCCAAAACCTTATGTTATAAAATTAACATCCAATTTGATTTAATTAACAAACAAATTTCATACAATTTAAAACCCCATTTCATACAATTAACATCCATTTTCATACAATCAACAACCCATTTCATACAATCAACATCCCATTTCATACAATAATAAACCCTAACATCCAAATTTAAAAACTATAACATTCATTTAATCAAAATACAAAAAACAACTATAACATTCAATAATAACTCTACAATCCCAATTTGAAAATCCTACTCTTAAAATACAACATTCAAAAACACTCTAATCTTGTTTCAAAATTCCAATTTAAATAAACCTAACATACATCAAATCAAGACCCCATAAACTTAATTTGAAACACAACTGAATTTGAAAACAAATTAGCCTACAAAGTTCATTGTGTGTGTTTGTGTACTGCTGTGCATATGTTGTGTGTGTCTGTTTGCGTGAGATGTGTGGGCTGTGTGTGTGTGTGCGCGCTGTGTAAGCTGCTGGTTTTGGTGTTGTTTTGTGGTTTAACAGAGAGTGCATGTGAGGATTGAGTTGCTAGCAAGAAACCGAAGCATCCGATCAAGCATCACTGGGGATTCGGGATTTCGAGTCGCGGGAGGGCAATCGCAACGCCGTCAAGAGTTATTCATCGGACAGTTTGATTTGGGGTTTGTAGGTAAGCATATTCGAATATGTGTGCGTGTGTCTCGTGAGAGAGAGAGAGAGAGAGAGAGGGATGTACCTGGGAGGAAGCTGCTGCTGGTAGTTTTGCCAAGGCCAACAGACACGACGGTTGCCAATGTGGTACTTAGCCGCAATAACTACCTCCTTCTGTTCAAATTTGAATCACCAACGAATCCTATATAACCCTCACAATGATGAATCAAATTTCAAAAAAAAAAAAAACAATCAAACCCACAACGAATTTCAACCAGTTTTCTGTTTCCTTTGCACTCATCAAAATCATCCACCCAAAAATGGAGCAAACTGAAGAAATAATAGGGATCAAAATCTACAATGCTGAACCCTCACAAGAAGATGAGCCTATTCCATACCCCTCCACCACTCAGTGTGCTCCAGGAGGTTGCCGCAAACGCCGTGCAGTCGCAAATGGAGTACAGAAAACCCTATCGAAAACCTCCATGCTCGCCAACTTCCTCCCCACCGGAACACTTCTCACATTCGAAATGGTCATTCCTTCCATATACCACAATGGTGAATGCACTCCAGTCAGCACTTTAATGATCCACGTCCTATTGGGATTGTGCGCTCTTTCGTGCTTCTTCTTTCACTTCACCGATAGTTTCCGAGGACCGGACGGAAAAGTGTACTATGGGTTTGTGACCCATAAGGGTTTGGCTGTGTTTAAGCCTGGTCTTAATGTGGACGTACCTAAAGAGGAGAGATATAAGCTTGGTTTCACAGACTTTGTCCACGCAATCATGTCAGTGATGGTGTTCATGGCGATCGCGTTGTCAGATCATCGGGTGACCAACTGTCTGTTTCCGGGGCACGAGAAGGACATGGACGAAGTGACGGAGAGTTTTCCATTAATGGTTGGGATTGTTTGTAGTGGTTTGTTTCTTGTGTTTCCCAACACTCGATATGGCATTGGGTGCATGGCTACATGACAATAACAGTGGTGTTATGGTTTGTGTGTGCACCTTTGAAGTTCTGTATGTATTAATTAGCAGTAGATCAATAGACATGTGAGACATTGATCTATCATAAATAAATTTTCTTTATTTATGGCCTGTAATAAATAACAAATTGTTTTATTTTGTGGCTAATTGTTAGTAAAAGTTATAACTAATATAATAACTACGTGGAATTAAGTTTCTGTCTTATACCATTACTCATAAATAAATACATTACGAGAACTCCCATTATCTTAAAGTGAAGTCTGAAAGTCCACATGTTCATGATGTCTAAGAATGGGCCCATCCGTGCGTCTCTTATGGTTGGGATCCATTATACTGAGCGCTTGTGCAGTCCATTCATGGCATGGTTCGGCTACGGTTCTTAACCACCAAGCAAATATACCCGCCAAAAACCTACAACTGTAATTGGAATGTGGATTCCGATTCCATAAAGCAACAATGCCTCTTTCTCCTCAAGTCCTGCTCTTTTCTGGATCAGCTCTTTCAAATCCATGCACAAATCCTGATTGTTGGTCTCCAGAAAGATGAACAAATTGTAGATAAAATCATCCAATTTTGCGCACTACATCCCTCAGGAAGCTTGAATCACGCAAGACGAGCTATAATACAATCCGAAAACCAAATAACCTCTTCGTGGAACAATCTCATCAGGGGCTATGCTACTAAGGGTGATTCACCAAGAGAAGCCGTATGGGTTTTCCTTGCAATGCGACGTTCAAGAACCAGACCCAATGAACTCACCTACCCATTTCTTTTCAAGGCTTCTGTTACATTTTCGGGGCTCAAAGAAGGGCGACAAATCCATGCGGATGTTTTGAAGCACAGAGTGGATGATGATGTATATGTGCAGAATACTGTGATTCATTTTTATGGGTCTTGTAAGAAGATTGTACATGCATGCCGGATGTTCGATGAAATGTTGTTTAGAACTCTTGTTTCTTGGAATTCAATCATTTCTAGCTGTGTTGATAACTTGTGGTTCTATGAATCGATTAAGTACTTTGTCAGGATGAAAAATTGTGGGTTAAAGCCTGATGAGACCACGATGGTAATTCTGCTTTCTGCTTGTGCTGAGCATGGAAACCTGAACTTGGGAAAATGGGTTCATGCCAAGTTATTGAGAAAGGGTTGGTTGTAAATTGTCAATTGGGTACATCCCTGGTTGACATGTATGCCAAGTGTGGAGCTGTGGCTTATGCTAGCCTAGTTTTTGATGCCACACTTGAACGCAATGTATGGACGTGGAGTGCGATGATTCTTGGGTTAGCCCAGCATGGGTTTGCTACCAAAGCCCTTGAACTTTTCAGAAAATTGAAGAAAAATGTAGTTCAACCTAATTATGTGACATTCCTTGGGGTCCTCTGTGCTTGTAGCCATGCTGGACTGGTGGAGGATGGACATAGATCCTTTCATGAAATGGAGCATGTGCATGTGATCAAACCTATGATGATACATTATGGTGCCATGGTAGATGTTTTGGGTCATGCTGGTCGTCTAAAAGAAGCATATAACTTCATCATTGATAGGCCGATTAAACCTGACGCAATTGTGTGGAGGACGCTGCTGGGCGCATGCAACATTCATGATTTCAATGACTACAACGGGCTGGGTGAGAAGGTAAGAGAGAAGTTACTTGAATTGGAGCCAAGGAGGAGTGGAAACTTCATAATGGTCACAAACAAGTATGCTGAAGCTGGGAAGTGGGACAAAGCAGCACATGTGAGAAGCAGTATAAGCGATAAAGGCTTGAAGAAGATGGCTGGGGAGAGCCTTATTGAGGTAAGGGGATCCATCCATAGGTTCTTTTCTGGAGAAGATGATCAAGTTGATTGTGAGGTATCTTCCTGTTACTAGATATATTGAATTTGCATATGAAGATGGTTAACTATGAGTAATCACCATGTTTACTACGTTGCCTCTTTTTCCCTACCAATGCTGTCATGAAAGCACTAATTCTCGCTGCTTTTAAAGATTTGGTTTTATAATGTGACTCTTGGCTTGGGCATCGTAGGCATCTTGCAAAATAGAATTTATTCCCTTTCGTATGTAGTATGCATTTAAATAGTTTTGTCTCTTTTTCTTTGATTATTCAGATGGTTATGGTATTCTAGTTTTTTTAATAACATAGCAAGGGTATCTGTGTTTTTGCCCCAAAAAAAAAAGGTCTGCAAATATCCCTATGGATACCAAGCAACTTCAAAATTAGCTGATAATAACAGCACCTTTTGTTGTGACACCTTATTCCTTTCCGCTTGAAATCTGAGCATTGAAAACATATTTTCCAAGATATTGGCATCAAAAAATAAAAAATTCTGCAACTTCAACGTTGAAAATTGAGAAAGAAGAACCTACAAAAACTGGAAAGAGTCAGACCATTTATACAAACAGAGTGCTCCATAATTTTTTCATTTGCCTTCAAAAACTGACGTATTATTGAGAGGCAAATTGAGAAACACCAGATATTACTAAAGATGAATAAAGCCTAAAAAGGATAGGGGTTCCTAGAAGCTAAAGGTCAAATTTAGAACAAAAGAAATCATAATAAAACTTAGACACTGATTACACTTGCATGATAGATCTCTTACCAAATTCGACACCAAATTTGTTGTATCCAATGCTTTTAGCAAGGTGAAATAACAAATTAAGATTGCTGTAAAATGAACAATCAGATCTTTGCTAAACAGTCGATTCCATTTCCAACAGTTCCAGACAATAATCCATTATTTTTCTCAGACTCCATATAGATGGAAGTCTTATTCAATGGTACAACTTTTATATTTCCATGGAAAAAAACTTCTCTTCTTTGTTCAAACTTCAGAGGAAATTCATGGGCCATTCTATTACTTCGGCTGATCACTTGGCTTGGCCCTTGGCCAGGCCAGCTTGGTAATTCATGCTCTGAGAATTGTCCATCTCTTGCTTTCTCTATGAAACTTAACTCTTGCATTTCATATCATATGAAAAAACAATCGTCAGTTATCAACAAAATTTCCCCTCGAAGGATTGGATTACAAACCTGCAGCAACTACCTACTGCATTTCACAGTCACTATAATTTTATTCATCAGCAGCAGCTGCTCTGCTTCTCCATATGTACAGCTTGTTGGACTTTCATTGCCTCAAGGTTCAGCTGCTCAAGCCATAGTGCAGGCCCATTTCTCATTTCTCCCATTTTGTCCATCATGTCCTAAAACAGACTTGGATGACTATGGATGGTTAATCATATGCTCAGATTAATGCAATATACAAAAAATTGCTGATATACTATGGATAATGAGAATTAGTAGTCTCCAACTTGAAGGAAAGGTCAAATCACTCAAAGAAACCGATCAGAGGAAAGCAACAATAGACTATATGGACACAATCGAAATTTTAAATATCATAGAAAAACAATAAAAAAGGGCCTTATTTGTGCACTCGTTACGTGAAACTGCTTTGGGGAAACTGTAGTTTGAGTGGGATAAAAATAGAAGGAACCGGGCAAAAATCAGTATCCACTAGATGCTACAACCGTAATGAGAGAGAGAGAGAGTGAGGGAGGGAGAGAGATGTAGCTCAAATTCTAAAGCGCTAGATTTGCATGCGAGAGGCACAAGGTTTGATCCCCTGCATAAAGATAAGATGAAAAAAATGAATATTCCTAGAGATAATATTGTGGAACGCCTAATTTTGAGAATGTTATGATAGTGAAGAATGCTGCGTTTATGTTATGAGTGTGTGTGTGTGTGTGTGTGTGTATGTAGATATATTGGCCATTTGTCAGTTCATATTTCTTCATGGTCAGTTCTGCTGCGCAGATTGACCTTGAAAAGAAAAGAAAGGAAAGGAAAAGGATCACATTACAACATCCTGAATGCAATTAGTTTAGTTTAGCCCGTAATTTCAACATCCGGAAATGGTTCTGCAGGGCCGGTTAATTTAGATCTGTTGCAGACTAGTTGAATTTGATTTACGACCAGTTGCATAATCATGTGTATGGCGTATGTATGCATGTATCATTAGCCTCATTTTCACTCAGCATTTGATGATGAGCTGTCTCCCTGCCAAGAATGGGAATGGAAATAAGATTATTTAAATTGTGTGATGGGAATTCCACTGTCGAGTGTTGCTAATCCAGTGTTTTGCCAAAAGGCTGTGTGTTTGTGTTTGTACTCTTAACTTACATTTCGACCAATTTTTTGTTTAATGCACAACTCTATTGTCAATTTCTTGTTTAATGCATAATTCTTTGTTTAGGCCTTAAATTGCCTTGAGCCACTAAGTTGCCCTACAGACTGCCCAAGTCTTGTAGAGAGGCACAAAAGAGCACTATGTGAGAAGCAATATAAGCGACAGAGGCTTGAAAAAGATGGCTGGGGAGAGCCTTATTAAGGTAAGGGAATCCATCCATAGGTTCTTTTCCGGAGAAGATTATCAAGTTAATTGTGAGGGCATCTTCCTGTTACTAGATATATTGAATTTGCATATGAAGATGGTTAATTATGAGTAATCAACATGTTTACTACGTTGCCTCTTTTTCCCTACAAATGCTTTTACGAAAGCACTAATTCTCCCTGTATTTAAGGATATGGCTTTCTCATGTGACTCTTGGCTTCTGCATCCTGGGCATCTCGCAAAATAGAACTGATTCCTTTTTGTCTGTAGTATGCATTTAAATAAGTTTTCTCTCTTTTTCTTTGATTATTCTGATGGTTATGTTATTCTAGTGTTTAATAACATAACAAGTGTTTATGTGCTTTCGCCAAAAAAAAAAATAGGTCTGCAAAAATCAGAGTGGATCCCAGGCAACTTCAAAATTAGCTGATAATAACAGCAGCACCTTTTGTTGTGACACCTTAATCCGTTCCACTTGAAATCTGACAATTGGAAACATATTTTCCAAGATATTGGCATCAAAAAATAAAAAATTCTGCGACTTCAACATTGAAAATTGAGAAAAGGAGAACCTACAAAAACTGGAAAGAGTCAGACCATTTATTTAAACAGAGTGCTCCATAATTTTTTCATTTACCTACAAAAACTGAAATATTATTGAGAGGCAAACTAAGAAACACCATATAATACTGAGGATGAATAAAGCCTAAAGAGAATAGGGATTCCTGGAAACTAAAGCTAAAATTTAGAACAAAAGAAATCATAATAAAACTTAGACACTGATTACACTTGCATGATAGATCTCTTGTCAAATTTCGACACGAAATTTGTTGTATCCAATGCTTTTAGCAAGCTGAAATAACAAATTAAGATTGCTGTAAAATGAACAATCAGATCTTGCTAAACAGTCGATTCCATTTTTCAACAATTCTAGGCAATATTCCTTTGATTTCCACTGTTGGGTTTTCAACTTATGCAGATTGGTACAATAATAAAAACAAAACAACCTAGTGGATTACACTAGGCATCCCCTACATACTGATATTCCCTAATGAACAAAGATAAATTTACTACTTACAAATGCTTTATTATTTGTATTAAGGATGTGCAAGTACCAATGATTCCAATCAAAAGGCCCATCACTATAATTCCCCCTATAATCACTAGTTCAAATCTAAGTTTCAGGTAAGTTCCGGAAATCTTCAGATATCACAAGCATGGAAATAAAGTTGAAAGAGCGACACTTAGAAGTGCTCCAACAAGTGACACGAGATACCCGAAAAAGGGGATGGTCAGGGCTACAATGATGGTGCTGATAACCAAGATAGTGCTGATCACAAATCTCAGGGGTCTTGTGTTGCTGTAAGACCTCAACGGATTTTCAACAGTATTGAGAATTGGTGTCACCATCAGTGGATATTTTGATATGGGATTGATCAGGGTGGCATAAATTGCCACTCTTGAGCTAATTTTATGGGTTGGAAGGTTTAATGTAATCTGTGACTGTACTTTTGGACCAAACATCAAGTACCAAAAATTGCTATTGATGCATAGATTAGGGTACATAAGGGAAAACATAGGAGCAAGACCTGCATTGAAGAACATCAAGTGACAATCAGTAATGTAAACTACCAAAGAAATTTCGGTGATTCAACGAACTTCCTTCACATTAGAGAAGAGTCTTTGGCTCTTCATAGAAGTGTAGAGAGTGGGAAAAACTGGATGAGCACAATAACAGAACGAGTATAAGCTAACAGCAGTAGGTAATCCCTTCCAATTCAGCAGAGTTCCCCTTTCCTGAAATCCAATGCCATCAAATGCGCCAGCCCACAAAATTGAGCCAAGGATTATGAGAGAAGCTAAAACTCCAGTGGCAGAGATATATGAGAGAATGCTCATGTTTTTTTACCAAACAGTAGGAAGTATAATGAGGCCAACAATTATCACAAAGCAAACTCTTCCACCAATTCTAAACCCACCTATTTGGATTCCCATGTCTGAAAATATTTTAACCAAATTATCCCCTTCCACAATTAGGAAACTCGTCACAATCAAGTAAAGTTCAACATTCATGACAATGGATGCAAACGTTCTTCCTTTTGTACCGAATGCACGCTCAACAATATCAGGATAGCTTCTTATACTTTGATCCGCATCCATACATCTTTGCATTAACAACGCTGTGTAGAAGGTTGCGATTGCAATAATAATAAGAAGTATCAAGCTCAACCACCCTTCTGATGCTAATGCATATGGTATTGACAATATTCCGAATCCTAAAAAACCAATCAAAGGCAGAGTTTCTAAGATAAAACATCAAAGTAATCCATACAACCTGTTTTAAAAGCCATTGAATCCTACTTAATAGAACAAAATAACAAACATATACACCTGAAATTATTGCAGAAAGAACAAAAGTAACAGTGAAAGATGAAGAGGAAGAACCTGATAGAGCGTTGAGACCATTAAAACAGGTCTAGAAGAAGGAGGTAGTGCCTGTAACAGAGTTGGGCACTCCCTCAACTTCCTCCACCCCAAGCTTGGTTTGCTGTTCATAATTGCCAGACGGGAGGGGTAGGGTAACAGAATACTCATCATCCTGTGCTTTTGTCTCCATTGTAGACGAAGAGGAGAGTCAGGGCCGGCTCAACCCTCAGCCAACTAAGATGATTGCGTAGGGCCCAAATTTTAGAGGCTCCCACAATATTTATCCTTTTATATAGTAGATCTAATTTTTTATTTTATATTTATATTTTAGTTATGATTAAAATTTTAGGGCCCAAATTTAATTAGTTCAAATAAATATTTAATTTTATTAGGTCCAAAATTACTCTTTACTTGGTTAAGTCCAAATTTTAGAAGTCTTAATAAAATTTACCACTTTAATATAATAGTCTTTTTTATTTATTTTTATGATTCAAATTTTTAGGATCAAATTTTAATAATTCAAATCAATATCTAATTTTTTTAAATCCAAAATTACTCCTTCGTGGGAGCTTTGATTTAAAATTTCTAAATATTTTGGGTGTCTTCATAGTTGTATTTCACTCACTCACTCACATAGAAAATTTATATTCATTATTTGTTATGGTGAAAATCTATAAAATTGGTTCTTTTTTGTCTTAATATAAATTTTCAGTCCAAATAATTTATACTTAAATTGTCTCTTATTAAAGTTTTGTACTTCATGCGTGCACATTATTCATAAGTAAAAAATGATTCTTTGTTATCTTAAAACATCTTTTAAATCCCTACCATAAAGTAATAATTGGATCTCTTGAACCGGATACAAGCCATACGGATAATCGACGATGGAGTGAATGAGAAATCTGTGGTGCTTGGGAAGTCGTTGTGGGGTCGTTGAATTTTGGGTTAAGTCACAGGTCCAGTTCCAGACTTCTATGATGACACCAACGCTCTAACGAGAGGTAGAAGATGAATCCGCGTTTGAAGGAATAGACTTTGCATTAATGGACAGAACAGAAGTCATCTTACTGTTTTGTCTTTTACCTCGTAGAAACTAGAAACACTGAAAAGAGTCGTGAGGAAAATGGCATAACCATATATACTTTTATCCATTGGATACAAATCCAAACTTTTCATAACCTCACATGGGTTGTGGACTGAAATGAGATCCTAGAATTTAACTTTTAATATACGGTAATTTTGTATTCTTCTTATTTTTAGGGAAAAATATATGCTACCTATTTTTTTTTTTTAAACCGAAAGTTACAACTTACAACTGCTTAAGTGAAACCATGATAGTAATTTTAATTCCTCTATTATGAGTTGTAATTTGATCTTTAAAAATTATAACTTAAAATTTAAAAATTATAACTTTTATGATCGATCATGCGGGCGGTACCGTAGACTTTCCATATTTTTTTTTATAGTATTTAACTTAGTTATTAATTTATTGTAATTTTTCTAAAGAAAGTTTTATCAATGTAAAATCATCGGTACAAAAAATGAGTTTAATGTTTTCTACTAAAAGCGTGTTTTTAACGCACGTTTTCATATTGAAAAGTCTAGATTTAAAGTACGTTTTCATAAAAACTATGATAGAATGAAAGTAACTGAGATAGCATCACTTATTTATGCTATATACTAGAAGCATTTATTTAGTAGTGAGAGTGGTTCACAAGTGTTCCATATCCAAATCTTATTTTCTCATCATTTTGAATTATTTAATAAATCTCTTCCAATTAAATTCTAATATGTGACATATGTAATCACTTCCAATATTTTATTAACTTCTTCACAATTGAACAACTATTTTACATTTTAATTTTTGTAAAATATCAATTTAGTACATTAGTAAGCGATTTTTTTTATAAAATTAGTATGCAACGAGGGTATGAGTGACAATGACTACGAAGAGATATAACAAATTTCGTGGATCGCATAAGACAATCACTAACCAGATAGAGTATTGGTGAAAAAAATAAGCATCTTGATATATACAACCCCACAACAATATAACAATTAGTCTGGTTTTAAAAAAATGATTACAATTTTTTATGTAAAATATTTGAAATTGTGTAATACTCCACTTATTGTGTAATACCAAAAAGAAAAATAAAAATATAGCAAATTAAAAATTTTAATATATAAATTACAAATTTTAAAAATCTTTTCAATGCGTAAAATATCATTTATCCTATTTTTCCTCTATCATGCATAGTTATTGTGAGAAAATTGAGAGTTGACACAGGTCAAGTCATAGATTAGCACGAGTCTCCGATGACACCAACGCTGTTAGGGACTGGTTGATATATTTTTTGGTATAACTTTGGATTGGCTTGTCAAAATTCAAAGATAAAATTTAATATTTAATGTTATTCATATTTATGTTTGGTCTGCACAGAGATATATGATTATTATAATAATATATTTATATATAAATAACTATTGTGTCTCTTAACCAATTTATATATATGGGATATATAGAATATATGAGGATATAAATGTCATTTGAATGTTAAACCCATTAACCCACATAAGAAATCCACCCCCCTTAGGTTTTATAAAACCCATGAACTTGAATTTCAAACCCTGTATTAAAATGCATAATTTTTAAATATGAGTTTAAAGAGATTTAATCCCCAATCCAAGTCCTTCGCCCTCACAAGAGTAATGGACTCGAATCAGACCATAGAATTGCATGTGTTTACTTTATTGTACCAAAAATGTCAATTCAATTAAATCAAATCATAATTTAAATGAATCAAGTTACGATCGATTATGATGAATTCGACAACTTAGATTGGTTCTTTGTAGTCAATTTGAGTTCTAAATACCTAGGGAGGTCCTAGAAAGGTCAGGAGTATTTATCAATTTGAAATATAGAAATCAAAATTTTTTTAGTTTTTGAGAGGGTATTCGAGTCAGTTTATGCACACCTTGGCTAATCTCTTTCTCGGTCTGGTCAAAAACAAATCATCCATGCCAAAATTAGGGTATTAATGAGGTATAAATATTTTATAACCTGTCCCTAAAAAATTTCCAAAATTTAAATTAATAACATTTAAGTATATAACTCGTATCACTTTCAATTTTGCTCGAGTCAAAACTACATCGACTAGGAAAACTGATGATCATGCACTTGTTAGCCTAATTAACACACTCACACTACCACACTAAAAGAAAAAAGTTAGGCTATTTATTAAATTAATAGATGCGATCGTGGATTACACTGCCTGAACTATTATTCTCACACACAATCTTAAAAATACCAGATGAAACTAAAGATGAGTAAAGCCTAAAAGGATATCAATTCCTAGAAACTAAATTTCAAATTTGGAAAAGTAAATCGAAACAAAACTTGGATTGGTGACACTTGACTGATTGATCTCTTGTTCAATCTCTTTACCAAATTTGGTGTGTCCATTGCTCTTTGCAAACTGAAATAGCAAACTAGGAATGCTGTCATGGACGGCACTTGTAACTAAGCTCTTGTAAGTGCAGCAATGTCCTCCTCTGGTAGGAAATGAACCATTAACTCCTGATCTCCTAAACAGTTGTTCCATTTTCCAGCAGTTCTTGGCAAACATCTTCGATTTCCAATTCTGATCTTTCAAATTATGCAGATCGGAACGACAAGAACAATAACTACAAAAACTACATTGTGGAACACAAAATGTGCCTCCTACTTGCTAACATTGCTACAGACTAAACAACTGAAACTGAGTGATCATCAAAGAAAACTTTAATGCCTACAAATGCCCTATTATTTGTATTAAAGAAGTGCAAGTACCAATGGTTCCAATCAAAAAGCCCATTACTACAATTCCCCATATAATCACTAGGTCAAATGAAAGTTTCTTATACGTTCCAGAAATCTTCAGATAGAACAAGCACGGAAATAAAATTGAAGCTGTGACACTCAGAAGTGATCCAACAAGCGACATGAGATACCCAAAAAAAGGGAGAGCCAGGGCTACAATGACAGTGCTGATCACCAAAGTGGTGCTGATCACAAAGCTCAAGGATCTTTTGTTGTAGTAAGATCTTAACCAATTTTCAGTTGCATTGACAATTGGTGTAACCATCAAGGCATATTTTGATATGGGATTGACCAGGGTTGTGTATATTGCCACTCTTGAGCTAATGTTTTGTGTAGGAAGGTTTAATGTTACTTGTGACTCTACTTTTGAACCAAACATCAAGTACCCAAAGACCGCCATTGACGTGTAGCTAATGGTACAGAAGAGAAAGCATACGAGTAAGACCTGCAATGAGGGGCATCAAGTGTGATTCAATGATGCAAATTTGCTAAAGAACTTCAAGTGATTCAAAGACTTAGCTTTACCTCAGCAAACCGTCTTTGGTTTCTCATAGAAGTATACAGGGTGGGGAAAACTGGATGAGCACAATAGCAGAACGTGTATAAGCTAACAGCAGTAGGTACTCCTTTCCAATTTACAAGCGTTCCACTTTCTTGAAATCCAATACCGTCAAATGTGCCAGCCCACATAACTGAGCCAAGGATAATGACAGAAGCTAAAACTCCACTGGCAGAGATATATGAGAGAATGGTCAAGTTGTTTAACCAAACAGTAGGCAGTATAATGAGACCAACAATTATAACAAAGCATTGTCTTCCACCAATTCTTAGCCCAGCAAAGTTGATTCCCATGTCTGGTAATATGGTGCACAAATTATCCCCTTCCACAATTAGGAAACTTGTCGCAACCAAGTAGAGTTCCAAATTTGTGATAATGGATACAAGCATTCTTCCGGTTGTACCAAATGCACGCTCACCGATATCAGGATAGCTTCTGATACTTGGATCAACATCCATACATCTTTGAATTAACAAGCCTGTATAGAAGGTTGAGCTGGCAATAATGAGAAGAAGTATCAAGCTCAACCAGCCTCCTGATGATAATGCATATGGTATCGACAATATTCCAACTCCTGAGAAACCAATCAAAAGGAGAATCTAAATTTAGCTACTCTACGATTCCAAAAAGTTGTTGAAGCACATGACTTGGCTCGAATAAGATCCAAAGAAGGGTGAGAGCAAAATGAGGACTATGTTTAGCACGAAGATTACCTATGTAAGGAATGGGTTCTGAAAGTTAACAATCTCATGTTCAATGATGAGATATAGTTATTGTGATAATAACACATTGCAAGATCTTCAGTTTAATAGGACCGGCTGTCTCTCATTGTTCAATTAGGAAGCTCACATTCTGATATGAAGCTGGCTATATACCCATTCTTAGTTCATTATGCAGTATCAAATTCAGTTCTTATTATTTCTTCAAGCAATACTCCAAACTGCTAAACACGGTCTTCATAAAGCATTGAACACTTAGCAAGTGAGAAAAAAAGTAGAAAATAATCCAGCTGCATGGCTCAAAGCAAATCCATTGATAGCAGACATATATTTAGTGAAATAACAAAACACAGTGCTTGCTTGAGATCATAAGGTAAAATTGGAGGGCACTTTTAGGGCAAAAGTACCATTATTCGTATTGAGGTCTACAACTACTACAAAGTCCAAGATTGTTAAATCAATAAATCCCATCTGCTTAAAGGGTTATGATTTCTGGACCTCAGTCCTACCCGAATGATTTAAGCCCTCTGTAATGGAGCGGCATATTGAAGGTTCGATTCGCCTCCCCCTCCCCTGTGGTGTAAGAAATCATTGCCATCACAAAAAAAAAAAAGGTTATGATTTAACATACCATGCTTGGAAGCCCAGAAATCTAAAGAACAAGTTAAAGAGATAAATTGAAAATAATGTACTTGCTTTGGTTGCCTTATTCTGAAAAGCCCCTGATCTCCATAGTCACTCTTGTGCGAAAGTTTTTTTCCCCTCTAATGTAGCTCACATATTATGTATATTCCTATAGTTTATGGTCCTGTTCCATTTTATTTTTGTTTCTGAAGCTTCTCAGCAACCCGAAAGAGCACTTGTTATACTATCACCTCAATGCTTAAATTTCAATAGATTTAGGAGAAATTAAAGCGTAGCAGAGTAGGTATACCCTGTAGGAGAGAACAAAACAACAAACACATACTCAAGAATTTATACTGGAGAGGACAAAATAATAATGAAATGAAAAGAAGAACCTGATAAAGCATTGAGTCCATTAAAACAGGTCTTGAAAAAGGAGGTAGTGCCAGCAATGGAGTTTGTCACTCCCTCAACTTCCTCCTCGTAAATCTTTTGTTGCCTCTCATAATCCCCATGCAGGAGCGGTCTGGTTACAGAATACCCATCGTGTGCTTTTGCCTCCATTGTAGAGAAAGAGGAGAGAGAAGAAAAAAGAGAGTCCCAAACTGGAGATTTTTTTTTTTTGGGTCGTTTGGGCCAGGTGGTCGCAGCTGCCTAGGATGGACAACACATCTGTGCCAACCCGGTACCTCTATAAATAGTGGGGATATTTTGGTTTTGGGCACACGTTAAAAATGAGTCCGAGCAATGAAAACAAAGGATGAATATTCTATGGAATTTGTTTCTGTTAAATTTGTATTAGCAAAAATGTTTTAAGGATATGGAACGAATTCTCGTAAGAAAGCAATAGGTCAAAAGTGTTTGACAATAAGACTGACAATTAGAAGGAACAAATGATAAAATGAATCAAAGTTTTCATTTGCTTCTTACATGGTTACCACAAGATTATTCTAGATAGTCAAGGATCTCTAATCTTAACTTTAAGCTTTGACATTCAAACCATACATAAAATATGTTTTAGGTATTTTTGGCGGACGATACTCTTATTATTGTGAGGTCAGAGGAAGATTAGATATATACAATCTTACTTCTACAAGTAGAAAGAGTGTATTTACAACTCGAATATGTGACCTCCAAATTATAATAAAACAATTTTACCGTTGCGCCTAGACTTACCCTCGTATCTATAGGGTGCCAAGACACAAAATATGCATAAGATGCAAAAATCATTTCTTTTACAAAGTTTATTTTTACAAGCAGGCTAATGACTCATATCTATGTTTTTTTTTAAAGAGTATACTAATCACATTTTTGTGCAATAAGAAAAAATTGATTGCATTGATGGAGCAATGACAAGCAAAGATTAGGATTATTAGCATGCACACAAGCAATGAAATTCAACTTGTTAAACTGGTCAGTTGTCTCCGTCACTAGTGCACCGTTTATTAAGATTAAAAAGCATAAAATGATAAAAAATTTAAAGGATAAAAAGTTAGAGAGATAGATAAAATATTATATTTGATAATAAAGAAAAATAAGAAAGATAGAAAAGTAGATAAATGAGTTTTCTTTCTAACTCACCAAAATTAATCCTTCCAAAATCAGAAAGAAAGTGAATAAAAAATTAATTATTTGTGTTAAAATATATTTTTATTTGTCAATGTATCCTTTGATATATTCATATATATACAATAATAAAATATTTTTTTTTTACTTTTAAAAAAAAATAAAAATAAAAATATTTTTTTTCCATCTTACCAATCACAAAAAAAAAATTAATTATTTTTATTTTTCATCCATCCTACCAAACATAAAGGAAGGAAAGTATAGCATTTCTATTTTTTTTATTTGAAGGATAGAAAGTGTATTTCTCATATTTTTCATCCCTCCCACTTTTTATTTTTCTTATCAAACCGAACATTGATTCTATCTTAGATGGATTATCTTAATGACAGAGATGTTGCAATTGATCTTCCTATGTTCGACACCATCTGTTGCTCTTAGAAATATCTTCCTAAAGAACATATCTCGAATCCTAAACAAAAAGAAGAGTCTGTGTCCAAATGGAAAAGGTATGTGGTACCATCACCACACGAACGCAAATCCACAAAGAATATTCCACTGCAGGCGTTCCCAAAACTTGAAACTCTTGACAGCATGACACTACAAACATGAGGAACGTTGCCTCTATCAGGGAAGAGGGGTCCTCGTTTATCATGCCCACCTCTAACCTTCGATTCCGCCCATATATAACTCGTGATGATCGTGGGAAATGTGTTATAATTTAAACCCGATTAAAACAAACACATATATTTACATGGTTACCTCCAAAGCTCCTTTTTTAATTTTTTTGAAAGGAAACAATAATGTTTTTTTTTATTTAAAGGCTTTCCTTTTTCATTTTTTACTAGGTAAAAGGATAGGACGACCAATACATAATAACTCTTTGGACGTTACCACGGAGGTTTTCTCATTGTATAAAATTCCAACAACATTTTTTATTAGAATAAAACTAAGTACCGGTTATCATTACCATTTTTGAGTATAGATTTTTCTCTTTTCAAATTTGTTTTTTTTTCTTTCAGTTCTGAACAAAACAGGCACCTATAATAATTTTTCTTCACCATTTTTTTTTTGTTGCTTTGGAGGAATCCTCAATTAGTTGGATTTCTTAGAATATCTTCGACCATAACTCAAATTTAATTCTAAAAAGCTTGATTTGATATAAAAGGCTCCAACGAAAAAACTCAAATTTAAAGGACAAACTCAAATTTAAACGAAGACAAACTCAAATTTAAATGAGAATAAAGATGATTATTGAATTTTTAAAAGATAGTGAAATCTCACTATTAAAAATTTGGGTAAGGATTTGAGTCTCTCTTGATTTGAGTAAAAAAATGAGTTTCTTTTGATTTCATATAAATTTGAGTTAAAAATTAGAGCAAGTATTTTAAAATTTTTTACCCAAATTTAAATTTAAGTCAGAATCGGAGATATCATTCCAAAACAAATGCTGGCTAAGTTGGCGCTCAAAACTGTTGAGAGTGTGGCCGGTGGATTCTCCAATTCCACAAGTTCCTTCCTTGTTCAACCCCTATAAGTAATAAGTTAGTCAACCAATCAAGACATTGATTTTCCTCTCTCACTCTCTCAGCGTGTGAGAGAGGCTGATCCCACATGCTTCAATGGACCTTTGGTACACAAAACTTATTAGAAACAAATCAAAAAAAATAAATTTTGGATCATAAATAATGAACAATATAAAATAAAATAATAATTTAATTTAATTTAATTTTACACATGTTATACTGTAAGTAAATAAAAAATATATATATGATACCAAAAAAAAATATTTTGTACTATATCCAATCCTTAATACAAGTGCACTACTACTAAAAACATCTCGATTTTTTTTTTTTTGATCAAGAAAACATCTCCAACTCGTATTCAAATTTTAGCACAAATTTAAAATTTGAGTAAAAATAGGTTTAAAACAAATTTCACTAGTAAAATAAAACAAGAGATTCAAATTTTTATTTAAATATCTAATAGTTAAATTTTATCAGATGATAAAATTTTAATAACCATATTTCACCATCATTAAAATTTTAAATATTTTTTATTAAATTAATATTTTTTCTTAAATATTAATTCAAATTTAAATCCGGGTTTGATATGCCAAGTTATATGAGTTGTCACCTCTAGTAAAAATGAGAGGTGTGTGTACCAGTAAGTATGGAAAATTTTCTCCTCTGCTCTCTGAGAGCAATGTGGTGCCCAAAACAACAGTGAGGTTGAGTAATAAATGAGTCCAGCCATTCCAGTGCTGGCAACTTTGACATATGAAAGGTGGGTGCAGTAAATGCTTCAGACCTGAAGCAGGTCCTCCTGCAGTTTTACCATGAAAAGGGGTAGAAGTCGTTTGTGAAGAAATCAAGGATAGGAGAAGAAGAGTCTCGGAGTGAAATGGCCAACACTCGTTACGTCTATTCGGCAAATATGGAAAGACAGGAACAAGGTCAAGAAGAGTATAAGGAGTACACCCACACACAACCCTAAAGTTGTGATAAAATATGCATGGCCGTAGGATGTAAATTAAGTCCAACTTTACAAATTTGAACTTGAATTTGTCGAGTTCGTTTTTTTAGACCAGTCTACAAAATTGTCCAAATTAGACTTGTTTAGAAAATGACCCGAGTCTAGGTCGAACCTGAGCCGAACTCAAATAACTTAACTATTTTGCATATAAACGAGTCGAGTTTTGCGAGCTCGATCCCGAATAATTCGACTATTTTACATATAAACGCAGTTTTGCGAGCTCGAATTGAGTCTTTTAAGTTTATTTTTTTAAATATGCTTAAGCAATTATTCAAACTCAACTCATTTATAACATGAGTCGAATTCGAGCTGAGCCGAGCCGAGTTTAAAAAAATTACTAATGTATTTTAGGGACCCAAGTGGTAAGTCTTATAAAACCACCCAGACTCATTTAAGTGGTCCTTTCCCGTTTTAGAGGATGGTTTAAAATGAACATGAATGGATGCTCAAAAGGATTGGGATGGTTAATCAGGAACGACCAAGGAACGCATGGATATATTTGGATTTTATGGAAAGTTGATTGATTCATCCAGTATCCAAGCAGAACTCTGGGCTATATACAAATGGCTGCAAGCCATTTTTTTTTGATCCAAAGGCTTGAAGTCATTCAAGCAAAGAACTTTAAGAATGTGATTTTTGTGAAAAACTAAATGGATGCACTCAGGCTTATATCAAACCAGCACGAACAGTCCCACCCTGAATGCATCTATTGAGTTGGTCCCCCTTCTGGATGCAGACCTAACTTTTTTTTTTGTAAGGGTGCGTTTAGTAATATTTTTATTTTTTATGTGATAAAAATTAAAAATATAAAATATATTTAGTAGGCATTTATATTTAAAAAATTTGTGAAAACAAAAAATAAAAAATATGTTTGATATTATACCGAAAATCCACCACTCAATACCACGTAAACCCACCTAACCCCACCAAAATCCACCACTAACAACCACCCAAAAACCACCAACAATCACTCAAAATCCACTACCACCCACCACCAATAACCACCGAAACCCACCACCCACTACTCAATCCCACCGAAACCCACCATCCAACCCCACTTCATAACTCACCACCAACAACCACCGAAAACCCACCACCAACCCTATCCTCTAATGCAAACGATTTCCTATGAGTGAGAGAGAGAGTATTCGATTGTTATTGTCACCAACAACTATCGAAACCAATCACCCAACCCCATCCTTAGATCCAAAATGATTTGCCCTCATATCCAAACACGATAGAGAGAGAGAGAGAGAGAGTAAAATAGTGGGAATGGTCAGTGCTTTGGTTGTTGTCGATGGTTGGTGCTCAATGGTTGTCGATGAAAGGGCGAGAGATAAACGAGAGAGAGAGAATAGGGCTTTTATAGTTCCAACCAAAAGAACATATGAATTGCTATTAATAGGATTCGAAGATGAGACCTCATTAATCCCTCCCAAGAAAAGCGCATTTTTTGAGTTTTTGGTGTTTTTGAAAACACATTTTTTTATGTTTTCAAATTTTGACTTTGTTTTTAAAACAGAGTTGTTACAAAAAAAAAAAAACTAAAGCACATTACAAAAAAAAAATTATTTTTGTTTTTGACAAAAATTGAAAACAAAAACATAAGTTACTAAATGCAACTTAGATGACTCAACTTTCATTTCCAACAAAAAAAAAACACACATAATTTTCAACTAAATATAAATCGAGTTCATATAGAATAACAAAATTGTTGAATTTAATTGTTTTGATTTGGGTTTAATCAACATACATAATTTGTAAGTAAACAATGTTACAATTATAATATAAATATAAAAAAATGTGCAATTAAAATGATTTTTTATTAACATGATCTTTAGATTATTAATCCAACCTCAACTATTTTGTTTTATATTTTCACTCACATACAAAGGTGATACCCGATCGAACTCGGTGGTTTATAGTTGAGGATAGATTCATTGTAAATTTTAATATTAAATGGAGTCAACTTTTAATTTAACAATTATAATTAATTAATTTTTTAGATTAAATTCTCAAATTAGATTCAAATAATTTTTTTTTGACAAATCTTATCAATGAACAATGTTATAGAAAAGTAATTAATTTAAGTACATAATTCAATATAATTATTAAATTAATTATAAATTTTAATTTCAATAAAATTCACTTTTAATCTAATAGTTATCAACTCAGCCGAGACAAACCCAGGATTAATGGATGCGTAAATGAGGTGTCAACACCCCTAACACCCTAAACCCAAACTAGGGTCAACAAGTTAACCATATATTACAACCCGGGTTAAAAAACAGTGGTAAAGGTCAAGAAGGACAACCACGAAACCCAGATTTTTATTATCTACAGTCCTTACTATCATCACCAGAAACAACCTTCCGTCATCCCTGTCTGCTTTCTCTAAGCTCTTACTTGGCCTCCATTTTTCTCTTCAATGGATTAAGATATCTCTATTTTGCTCAAAACCTTAAATCTAAATACCTACTCATAAAAAGATCTGATTCTTAAACCTAGATGTTTCAGTCATGGAGTTAACAACCACTGCCACTTACACAACCACCACCGCTGTAATCAAAACCCCAGAAGCTGAAAGTGAAGCCCCAAATCGGATCCGAACCTGTAAGCCCTTAACCTTCACCAACGGCGTACTCAAGCGCCACCACACACTCCATCAGCTCCACCACAACCACAAGCCACCGGCGTTGGTCACTTACAAAGAATGCCTCAAGAACCACGCGGCAAGCTCGGGTGGCCACGCAGTGGACGGATGCGGAGAATTCATGCCCTCCCCAACCGCCACCCCCACAGAACCCACTTCGCTAAAATGCGCCGCTTGTGGTTGCCACCGCAACTTTCACCGCCGTGACCCCGAAAAACCTCTACAAGTCCAACCACCCGACACCGTCCCTATCATCGAGTACCAATCCCACCACCGCCACCACCCTCCTCCACCGCCACGACCTTTACGTGACAGCAGCCCAAACTCCCCGTCCCCACCACCGATCTCTTCCTCTTTCTACCCATCAGCTCCCCATATGCTCATCGCCCTCAGCACCGGCTTATCAGGCCCATCACCGGACAATTATCCAACAATCGCCACTACAGATGGTATAATTGCAAGCCCGATTTCTCGGAAGCGATTCAGAACCAAATTCACTAGAGATCAGAAAGAAAAAATGCTGGAACTTGCCCAGAGAATTGGGTGGAAGATGCAGAAGAGGAACGAAGACTTGGTAAATGAATTCTGTAGCGAACTTGGTGTGGAGAAAGGCGTCTTTAAGGTTTGGATGCATAACAACAAGAACACTTTTTGCAAGAGAGAGAATGCTAACCTCAGCGACAACAACGGTAATGTTAATGGAATCAACTACCACGACCTTCACCATGTTGATGACAAAGACAACCACCATCAAATCCCAAATCCCCAGCTCCACAACAGTAGTAGTGTTGAAGTTCATGTTGTTCAAACTAATGGGTCTTGTTCTTCTTGATCTTTGATAATATTATGGTTAAATGAGTATTTATTAGGAGAGACATCATTGTTGATGATAACAGTGGAGAGGTTGTTCAATGGGAAATTTGTTTTCTTACCTTTCTTTTGTTCTGCTACCATGTTCAATGGTTAATTTCCATTTATTTTTCTTAACATGTGTTTTTCAATTATGTTTGGTTCAATATGTATGCCTTATTGCTTTTCCTTTTATATGTTTTGCAATTTATGCTGACGGCTTAGTGAGGATCATGAAATCTCATGGTTTTCAGTAAGGCATGGTTCTCTTCCTGTTGAGGTGAAAACTCTATTCTTACTCTCTTTGCATAGTGTGAGACAGTGCTGATTTTTGAATTTGTCCTTCAAAGAGACGGAGAGAGAGAGAGAGTGGTTTTATTGATTTTATCTGAGAGGAAGAAGCAAAAGAGTAAAGTCAATTCACTTGAGGGGTTTAAAGAATGATATGGGAATAAATCTCTGCAATTAGCAGTAATGTACTTAATCTGTCCTCTGTCTCACCTTTTTTTTGTGCATTTCAAGTCTCTTGCCGTAGGAGATTAAGTGGTTGGCTCTAGTCTGTTCTCCTTAACTGGACCTTTTTTGAATGATATTTCGTAACGGGAAAATGCTATACTTGTTAAAAAAATTATCAAATCTTTGGTACCAAATGATACGATACATTTGGTATTATACAATTTTTATTATTAAATATTAATAAAATTTATTTATCCGATAATAACAAATTATGTCACATCATTAAGACAAAAATTTGATTTTATAGCCTTTTGCTTTATTTAAGCAATCTTTTCTTTAGCCTTTTAAGTGTTTGAGATTATTTCTAGGGATAAAATGTTGGGTGGGAATGATTTAGAAAAAAAAATTATTTATCCATTAGCTTAATCTAGTAAAAATATAAGAATAATGCTACATAAATCTCTTATTTAGTGATCTAATTTAGTGACCTTATCGTTTTCTGTTATACGTAGAAGTTTGTGTTGTATCCCTCTAAAAAAAAAAAAAATTTATTCTCTGTTATTAGATTGACACTAGATCTATAATCCTACGAGTAATTCAATTATTATGATCCATTATCAAATAAAGTCACTAAATTAGATACAAATAACATTTTTCAAAATATTTTGGGTGAGAAAGATAATTGAACTTCTGGTTAGTAAATTATTATCTCACTTTCCTTTAAGGGAATCAGCTATCCTATGTATCAGGGGTTCAACTTGGGCTCTGAAAAATTAGTTTTTCACTCCGTCTATGGACGGAATTCTTTTTTCACAAATTGAAAAAGATATGTTCCAAGTTATTGTATCTAATTATTTTACCCGTAATAACCTGTGTTTAAAAATACTAAGCAATTCAAAAAACTTTGAGTACCGATCATATAATATAAATATTTTTAAATAATACTTTATTTTTTATTATTTTTTTTAATTACACAATTCAAAATCAATTTAAAAACACTATTTTCTAAAAAAAAATTGACAAAACTTCTTTAATAACACGATCCCTAAAAAATATCAACATGTATATAATTTATATATTTAATCATTATATCTAATATATATATTTTTGGTTAAGAATTGATATTGGGGGTGTGTGTTGACGGGTGTATAGAGAGATAGAGTTATACGAGAGAAAAGATAAACTTATGAGAGATGAGAGTATAATATGAAGAGAGAGAGAGAGTAGAGTTTTAATTATTATTAAATATATATAACCGTTCAGGTCAAATTCTCTGACTCTTATTATTTTATTATTATATACATTTAAGACAGAGCGTGTGTGTGTGAGTATGAGGTAGATAGAAAGATAGTTACATAAGAGATTAAAATGTGTGTTTAAACCATGTAAGAGATACGAGAGAAATGTAAAAAGAATGAAAATTCAATTAGGACCATTTAGACCATGATATATATATATATATATATATATATATATATATATATATATATAATTACATACATGGACAAAGCTACACAGGTGTGATGGTGGACACGATATAGATATAGATAGATAGATATATAGGATGACATACATGGGTAGAGTTACACGGGAGTGAGGGAGGGCACGTACCCACCCTCAATTTTTTTTTAAAAAAATATGATATGTATATTTATATATTCTAAAAATTATACACATTTTTTACTTTTGCTCACTCTATAATTTTCTTATATCAATTATTTAGTTTCTTTTATTTTAATAAGGCTTTCTTCAGATGACTTTCATTTTATTATAATTTTTTGCAAGTGAAAGTTCTTTCGATTGATCTTCATTTGACTTTATTTTTTCTACAAAAAATTATTTTTTATTTTTATTTGAGTATTGATTATAGTTTTTATTATGTACCAATAAAATTTTATTTTTTTTAATATGTTTACCTCTTAAATTTTAGTTTAATAGTTTTACTATGTTAATATTTTAGTAATAATATTTAGAATAGTGTTTATTGAATAAATTTAATAAATTGTTAGCGAATAATTGATATTTTTTAATCATAAAAATGACAATTAGGTTCACTTTTCACAATGGTAATAATTAGTCAATTTTTTATACATATATAATAAACATTATTCTTTGGCCTTTTATGTTAAATAGACTTTATGAATATAAATATTATATAATAAATATAAATATATTATATAGTGTGATTGATTAGAAGGAAAAAAATTAGAGTATATACTTAAAGTACCCATTCTAAGTAAAATTCCTGACTCACGACATATGTTAATGAACCTATAACTTGTTAGAAATAATCCTTGTTAATAGAGTTTTAAGAGGTATTAGGTGTATTTTGTTATACATATATATATAGCCGTCCAAGAGAGGGTTACATGAGAAATGAGAGAGAGTGTGTTTAACAACGTGTGAGAGATAGGAAAGAGAATATGAGATAGACGGAGAGAGAGTTAGATGAGAGACTAGAGTCTTAAAAAAATTTTGCATGATGACTGTTGAATCAATAATCATCAATCGATCTGAACAACGAAAAGTTCAAGACAAAATTTTTTAGTTATTATATTGAGTATTCTAATTATCGGTCATAAATAAGTTAAAACAAGATCAATAATAAAAAAATTTTGTGTGGTATGATATGGACTAACATCCTCATGTTCATTTGACATTGATGGGCCAAAATACAAATTTTTTTAAAAAAAATATTCTTAATAATAGATATGCCGTGTATAGATAATAGATTTGTTACTTATACATAGTAGATTTCATCTTTAAGTCATACTTAAATAATCTGTCATTCAAAATATCTAGAGAATTAAAAGAGTTGAATCTAAGATAATTTACTTAGATTCTCGACGAGACTTGTTAGAAAAAGCATGAGCCTCGTCTAGAATCCAAGAAAAATATAGGTTTGAATTGATGCCTACTATACGTCAAAATGGTGGAACCAGCTAGAGAGCAATTGAATAGGACTTTGGTAGGGTTAAATTAAGCAGAAAGATGCAAAGAACCAGGCTTCTAGTCTCAATAACTTGCCTAAGGGGAACTATTATGAATTGACCCCACAGAACTATTAGTATCTGCTTGGCCATCACTATCAATAATCCTACAGACTCTAGAATGCGACACCATAATACCATGTTATGATTTCACACAAAACACGTAGAAGGCTGATGGCACATGGAAAGCTGTTTTGCCTAGCAACGCATAACCAGTTGTCACTCGCTGGGTTCAGCCAGTCATTGCCTCCACATCTCTTTCGTTTTCTCTCTGTCCCTTAAAAAAGCGATATATATATAAAACATTTAATATATTTCTATTAATTAAAGATATTGATAAATTTAAAAAACGATTAAAATAAATAAAAGCAATATTTAAGTTAGATTGCATAATTCTCATTATAAATTGGTCAAAATCTAAACATCTAGCATCTATTAAAGTTAAGCAATTCATCTTCAGATAAAAATCAATCAGAACAAGATAAAGCATATTCATGTACAACACAGACTAATTATTATAAAATTATTTTAGATATAAATGAATTAAGTATAAATAGTTTAATTAAATTACAAATATTAAGCATTGATCTTATATAGATCAAATTCATGATCCTATAAAAGAAGATTATAAGTATTATACTAATATTAACGAAGATTGATTTTCTTTAATTATCATAGTATCGGATCTGTTAAAGACTTCTTTTAAGGAATAAGGTTGAGACAAATAATGTTTCTTCTCTTCTGGAGTTATTTTTAAATATTGCTCAATAACTTTTCTTTTATATACTGGATCTTGAATTTGATCTATAAGATCAAAGATTAATGTTTATGACTTGATTAAAATATTTGTACTTAATTCATTCATATCAAGAATAAGTTTATAATAATTAGTCTGTGTTGTGCAGCGTAATGAATTACTTATTTCATTAATATAACATAATTCTTCACCTTCAGAAGATGAATTATTAGAAAATTCTCCTTCTTCACTTTCTGAATGTAGAACTATCTTTAGAATCTTATCTTTAAGATCTTCATCAAGTATTAATTCATTTATTTTTTGTTTAGTTAGACATTTAGGAGCAATGTGTCCTAATTTTTCACACTTAAAAAAAATTTAATAGTCTTTTTACCCTTTACTTTAAGTCTTTTAGTGGGTTTATTAATTTTATCATTTTCATAATTGTTTTTATGAAATTTTCTCATTTTCGTATGTGGTTTGAAATATGTTAGTGGTAGGAATATAAATTCTTTGATTACAAATATAAACATTCGAAAGTTTAAATCATATGTTTAATTTTGAACCATCACTCATAATTAATGATTGAGTAGTTTTCTCAAAATATTTTGTAGAAATTAATCATTCTTTAATGCATTTCATATCTGTTCCACTGTCGATTAATATAATTGTTTTAACAGTGAATTCTTGATTTATTACAAGTATGATTTTAACATATAATTTTTTAAAAGTTATTTTTTCTAATACATTTAAGTGATCCTTAGAAGAGTTTAACTCTTATAAATACTCAGATTCTCTAGT